GGAAAGCTGCTGAAATGTAAATAATGATTTGAAAGATCATAATATGGTAACATTTACCAAAACCTAGAATAAACTAGTACAACTGGGAAGCTGATCTTCAGAAAGTCAGTGTTGGGGAGGGAAAGAAATGGACGAAAATTACTTATCTCAATTTCTAAGTGTTTGGCACACATTTCCATATAAATATCCTTAAGCTCTTTGAGGTAGACAAACATTAGAAATGAAAACAGTTGATGTTAAAAACAAAAAGAAAAAAGTTAATACTGATGATAGGCCCTATATGTATTTAATGTTATCTATAAAAATCCTTTTCAGCAAAGTGCTTAAATGCTATTTTATTTCCACATTGAAAGGTGGAGATTAAGTACCAAGGAACAATGAAAGTTGGACTTTAAAAGTTTACCTTAACCTAATTGCTTTTTCTACGGGACTACAAGCTACTGAAAAGCAGAGAAGCCCTGTCTTTTCATTTATTAATATGAGGATCTAGCACTTTGTGAGCACTGAAGTCAATGACTGCCTATCTGACTCACAACCTCCCAAGCTGTTCATTTTAAATAAAGGGAACAAACTTTGAGGTTGGTAGGACTTCACATAAAACTCAATTAAAATTATTCTCCAAAACCATTTTTATTCCTACTTTCCCTTGGGAGAATTAGCCTACCAGGGAAATTAAGGTGCAGCCTTAGTCCCCCTTTCTGACCCCACTTTGCTAAAATTTTATTTCTTTCATTAAAACGTTTATGCCCTTTCAAATACAATTAATTTTCAAGAATGGCAACAAAATCTGATTCATGATGATATAAAAATAAACTTTTCTAATACTAAATCTGATAAAAATAAAGAAATATATTCTTATTCTCCCATATCATCTTTAAGCACTTAATAATGAATCTGAGAATCTGACCTTTCACTTGGAAAAATCTCCAGGAAAAGAAAAGTTATGAAAGAAGAGAAGGAAAATAGCTATTCCAAGGAACATATTTTTGTACTTGTTTCGCTCCAATTTCTGCCACGTAGATTGCGCCAGTCTTCCCATCCACATCTAGGAGATGAGGTAAAACCTGATCAGCAAGTTGGATTGTGCTGACCACAGAGCAGTTGCCGATGCTTCCTATTGGGGGTGCAGCAATAACTGAGAGTCGGCTAAGATTCAACTGAGCTACGATCAAGAACTTCCCATCAGGAGTAAATCTAAGAAGGAAAACATTTTACAAAATACATTTTATGTGACATAAACCTAAACATTTATTTTTCAAACATGTTTATCTCCTACAGTGAGAAACAAACATTTGATACTGACTGAATGAGTCTTTAAAAAATTTAAATCTAATTTTGTTTAAGAGGGAGCAAGTGATTTTTTTTTTAGTGTTTTACTGTTAATTATGATAGTTTACATGGGAGAACATTCGTTTTACATTCATTCTATCATAGATCATATCATTGCCATGGTTACAATCCCCTCCATGCATCATCAACCAACCAAAGGGTATACCCTGCAAGCCTGTCCCCTACACTACCCGCCCCACCCAAAGTCTTCAGCACACAGTCATTCTCCCTCTCTGGATCTAAAGTCCCCAGTTGGGGAGCAAGTGATTTTTGAAGGCAGATATAGTCAAAGTTTTAGAATTGTTTTTTTAAATATCAGTTATCTATAGGTTGCTAACTGCAAGGTCAGTGGTTGAAATCCGCCAGCTTCTTCCTGAAGAAAGATGAGGCTGGTCTGCTTTTGTGAAGATCTATAGTATTGGAATCCCAAAGGAACAGTTCTACTCTGTCCTATAGAGCTGTTATGAGTTGGAACTGACTCGATGGAAGCAGGTTTAGTTTTTCTTTGTTTTGTTTTTTTTTAAATCAGTATCAGAGTTTACTATATAAAACGAAACTACTACAGAGCTGGTGTTAAGCTGGGTCTGATACTATACAGCCTCAGACTTTTGATTTTCATTCTGTTCAAAAATTTTCCAAAAGTTTTTGACAAGAAAAGGCTATAGCAATTTTCAGGCATACATCTTCTCTGACATTTGGATCTTCAGTGCACTGGGAGCTTCCCTGTTTTCATATTGCCTGGGAATTGATACTACTATGTCCTGTGCATAGGTTTTTCTTTCTTATTGTCCTCTCTCCCCCGCCCTTCCCCCACCCCAGCTTAAAATTAAACTATTTAAAACTCTCAGCTAGCTCTTCAAAGCAACTATGGCAAATAAACTAAATTAAACAAGCATTTAAATTACCTAACTGAAGATGGTCCTTCTTCTGTGAAACAGTTATCCCAAGCTCCTAACCATTCCCCAGTGTCTTTATCCAACACCTGTATTCTTTTGTTTCCTCGGTCAGCAACCCACACCTGAAAAACAAACGATAAAAATGTTTACTGGAAAAGATCCACACTACAATGAGAATACATTAAAGGCAGAGAAGAGAATGTTTATTTTCATACATTAATTCATTTAATCTTAGAAAACCTAGGACCTATTTACAGATGATGAAACTAAAGTTCAGAAGATTAAATTACTTCTCTGAAGTGAGCGGATATTAACTGAGAACCACAATCTAAACAACTAAGATGTTTTAACCACAACCAGATGACGCTGTTTTACTAACATGACAAATGAATCACTAAAACACTGAAGTTTTCCAACATAACACAGAGGTTTAGTAAGTGCTAAAGGGAAACAGTATTCCTTAAGTCTTCTAGCAAACACTTATTTTCATTAAGGATTGCCAACTGTCAGTTCTTGGTAATGAACAATACAGCAGCCTTGCTCTTCAGGAGCTCAGGCTAGTCAGGCCCTTCTACTGTAACATCTTTAAGCTTAACTTGTGTTTACCAAGTAACATCCCAAGTGTTAAACCTCTAACCTGACATTCCGATTTGTAACAGGCTCTAGAGTTTTTAAGGAAATGGTTACTTTTTTAAAATAGGAAACAAGATACATCCTAAATTGCATTTCATGGATAGTATTTGACACTGGAAGGAGCTCTGGTAGCATAGTGGTTATGAATCGGTTCTGCTGTTTGAAATTACCAGCTGTTCTACAGGAGAAAGATGAGGCTTTCTGCTCCTGTAAAGATGTACAGCCTCGGAAACCCTATACAGGGTCACTACTGAGTTGGAACCGACTCCACGGCACATAACAACAACATTTGTTATTGGTAACCTACTGTATAAGACGTAAGGTTTTAAACAGTATGCAGTGAGGGTTGCAGAGAAATATACCAGAAAGCACTGCAGGAGAGCAATCACCTTGATGACTGTTACCTTCCCACTTCAGAATCCTTGAGGTTTGGGTTTGTGGATTCAGGGACTAATTTGCAGGGTAGAGCTGACTATATTTTTGTAAACAGCTATACATTTCAGAACCCACTAAATTTATCTCCAATCAGAAACAGACTCATAATATAATTTTAGAAAGGTTATTGACCCTGGTTGTTAGGTAATGTTAAGTTCTGACTCACAGTGACCCTGTATCGTTTCCAAGGCTACAAATTTTCATGGGAACAGAAAGCCCATACTTCTCCCCTGGAGAGGCTGGTGGGCCAAACCACTGAACCTGTGGTGGCAGTACAGTACTTATCCTACGGAACCATTGCACTTTATTAAGGATGTGTGTGTGTGTTAAGGGCAGTCAAGTTAAGTTCTGACTCACAGCAACCTTGTATAGGGTTTCCAAGGAGTGGCTGATGAGTTTGAACTAACTTGCAGTTCAAATAACTTTGTGGTCCAGTGCTTATCCTACAGTGCCACACCAGGTATCCTTATTAAGGATGCTGTTGTTGTTGTGAAGTGTCATTGAGTCGGTTCTGACCCATAGTGACCCTATTTGGGGTTTCTGAAGAGCAGCTGGTGAGCTTGAACCGCCGACCTTGAAGTTCAAATGGTTTTGCAGTCTGGTGCATTAACCCACAGCGCCACACCAGGGTTCCTTATTAAGGATTTGTTGTTAAGGTGCCATCGAGTTGGTACTGACTCATAGCGACTTTATGCACAGCACAACGAAACACTGCCCGATCCTGGGCCAACCTCACGAGTATTGTTGCTACCCTCGAGTCCATCAATGCTGCTACTTGGCCAATCTGTCTCGTTGGGGGTCTTCCTCTTTTTCTCTGATCCTCCACCTTACCACACATGATATCCTTTTCCAGTGACTGGTCCCTCCTGACAATATGCCCGAAGTATGAGAGACAAAGTTTGGCCATCCTGGCCTCCAAGGAGCACTCTGGCTGCACTTCTTCAAACACAGATCTGTTGGTTCTTTTGGCAGCCCATGGTACTTTCAATATTCTCCTACAACACCATAACTTAAATGCATCAATTCTTCTATGGTCTTCCTTATTTACTATCCAGCTTTCACATGCATATGAGGTTATTGAAAATACCAGGTGGATCTTTATCTTCAAGCTGACATCTTTGCTCTTCAACAAAATTTTGGGATCCCTGTCTCAGGCAAATTAATTTAGACCTAGGATCACTGCCACTTTGGATTACTAGCTTTATCGTTCCTTCTCAATGAATCTCAATTATGGGTATTCCTGTTGAAGAAACAACATCACCAAAACTTTTCTCTGGAGCTAATTTTTCATATATGGTTTCAATGATAAGTAAGTTAATCAAGTAAAATGTTTACAATAGTATCTTTCACTACAGTTAAGTTTACTGCTTAAAAAAAAAAATGCGAGAGGGCTTTCCAAATTTCATGGAAAAATGAAATTAAAAGATAATGAAAAATGTCCAAGAATTTTTTGAAGCCTATATATATATATATCGTACTGATTATAAAGATAAAAACTGGCAGAAATTAGCACTCTCATTCTTAATTCACTCCGTGATGCAAAGCACTGGCCTAAAATGACTTCTCAAAACCCTCTCAGAAGGTTCATCTCCAGGGTGAATTTACCCAGGTCTACAACAACAGGCCTTGACTGGAGTCCTGGTAAGACACTAGGATAACCAAAATACTGACAGTTCAAAACCACCAGCCACTCCTTGGAAACCCTATACAGAGTCACTATGAGTCAAAACCAACTCAAGGGCACTTCGCAACAGGCCTGGACTGCTCAGAAACCTGACTTTGCTATTCAATCAAACAAAAACCACCCTTTACAGGACAGGGTAGAATTGTTTTGAGGCCTTATGAGACTAAACCTTTATGGGAGATGAAGTCTTGCCATCCTTGCCATACAACGAGCATTCTGGCTGTACTTCTTCCAAGATACATATGTTTGTTCTTCTAACAGTCCCTGAAACTTCTTTTTTGGTGGAGGGGGAGCCGGGGAATGGGATGGAGTAAGGAGTGAGGGTTAGGATTGGGACTAAGATTAGGTCTAGGCTAACCAAGGACTTGAGTTTATTATTGTTAGGGCTATGGTTAGGACTAGGGTTAGTGTTAATTCTTCTAATGCTGCTATTCTCCTTGGAGTCCCAGTATGGAGCTGTAGGATAAAGTACTGGACCCAAAGGTTAGTTTGAATTATAAAGTTGGCAGTTCAAACCCACCAGCCTCTCCTCAGAAACCCTATCAGAATGACTGGAGGGCATTTAACAAAAATTCTTCTCCTGTCTTCCTTATTCAGTGTCAAACTATTAAATGCAGTTGAGTCAGTTTTAACTCATAGTCACCCTGTACAGGGTTTCTGAGGAGCAGCTGGTGGATCTGAACAATCAACCTTGCAGTTAGCAATTCAGTACTTATCCTATAGGGCCACACTGTTGTTGTTTAAGTGACAGCGTCAGTTCTGTATAGAGTTTCCAAGGAGTGACTGATGAGTGTGAATCACCAACCTTGTGGTTAGCAGTCCCCTGCTGATTTTACAGTGCCACACCAGAACTCCTAGTTCTACCTGTTGTTAAGTGCCATGGAGTTGGTCCCTACTCATAGCAGCCCTGTTAAGAGTTTTCGAGGAGCTTCTGGTGGGTTTGAACCCCCAACCTTGCAGTCAGCCCATTATCCCGCATCACTGCACCAGGACTCCAGTGCCACACAGTTGTTGTTAAGTGCCGTCAAGTCGATTCCAACCCATAGCAACTTTGTACGTGCCACACTGTTGTTGTTAAGTGCCGCTGAGTCAGATCCAACCCATGGCGACCCTATACAGGGTTTCCAAGGAGCCATTGGTGAGCTTGAACCGCCGACCTTGCAGTTCAAATGGCTTTGCAATCTGGTGCATTAACCCACAGTGCCACACCAGGACTCCACAGGTGATATTAAAACCATTCTGATTCATGGTGAGTCCATGTGTCAGAGTAGAATTGTGCCCTATAAGGTTTTTTCATGACTGTGACCTTTCAGAAGCAGATCACCATGCCTTTTATCCAAAGTGTCTCTGGGCGGGTTTAAACTGGTAACTTTTTGGTTAGTAGTCAAGTGCTTAACCATTTGTGCCATCCAGAAACTTGTTAGATGATACAGGGTTAACTACTTTGTTCATTTCCATGAAGGTGAAAGCCTTCATTTTAGAATCTCAACAATGATTTACAGAGGAACTACCCAGATCACCCAAGTAAACATTCTAACACACATCTAGGGTCACTGAGTCAGAATTGACCTGACGGCACAGAACAACAACACATGTGATACACACCCAGATGTCCAGCAACGTAAATGTTCATCAAGATCCATATACACCCACATGCACACAAATTCATACACACAGTCCCAGATGCAATAATGCTGTATTTTTTACCCGACCAGCTGAATCAACTGTAACGCTGTGTGGTATGTTGAACTGAGTAGGCCCTGTCCCATTTTCACCATGCAGCCAAAGCATCATGAAATCTATGAAAGGCAAACAGATTTGGCAGGAACGACATACAGTAAACCTCATGCATTAGCACATTACATTTTTGTGATAGAAGTTACAGAAATATTATTCAATTACACTCCCCATTGACTATGCTTTCCTGGCTTTTTGTTTATATACTCATTTGCCTAATTCGTATGCTTTATAAAAGAATTCTTCACTGCTTCAAACAACAAATCTACTTCTTTAACTTTTACATCTACTTAACTTTTTTCATTATTTCCTCAAAATCATTAAGAGTTAAGGTTCAATGACATCTTGTTTCTCAAATTGTTGTTGTTGTTAAGTGCCGCTGAGTCGATTCTGACCCACAGCGATCCTGTATAGGGTTTCCGAGGAGCAGCTGGTGAGCTTGAACCACCGACCTTTAAGTTCAAAAGGCTTTGCAGTATGGCACATTAACCCACAGAGCCACACAGGTCCCCTTAAAAACTTTCACATTATTTTGTACTACCTCTTTTCTGATAAAAACATTATGTCATTATGTTTAAATTTTCTGTCTACTGGCACACATTCTGCTGCTTACCAAAAGGTTGGCAGTATGAATCTACCCAGCACTGAGAGCAAAACACCTGGCAGTCTGCTTCTGTAAGGATTACAGCCTAGAAAACCCTATGGGGAAGTGCTACACTGTCACATGGGCTTGCTATGACCCAAAATTGACCTGACAGCACCTAACAACAACTCTTTTAATTAACCTGATACCCATAATCTGTCTCCTAAATTGAGTTGTTTCTATGATGTTTGAAGGAGCTCTGGTAGCATAGTGGTTACAAGTTGGGGTGCTATGCTCAAGGACAGTAGTTCGAAACTACTAGCCATTCCGCTGGAGAAAGATGAGGCTTTCTGCTCCTTCTAAAGACTTACAGCCTCAGAAACCCTACGCAGGGTCGCTATGAGTCGGAATCGACTTCACAGCACACCACCATCACCACCAGGATGTCTGTACTAAATACAGAATTTGACATAATAGGGGTCTTCAAAAAGTTGCAAAGAAATGTAATTAAAAATAAAATATATAAACTCTATTTCTCAACATAGTCTCCAGTTCCGTAAACGATCTATGAGCCACTTATTTCATACCAAAAGAAACAAAGCATATTTCTTTTTAAATGTAAAAATGTAAAGCTGATGATCTTATCTGCAAACCTTCACTCAATTCACAAGGAAGTTTTAAAAAATGTACCTTCAGCTCCTTTCCTAAAATTCATGCTAATTACCACCCTGTTTGATAGTTCTCCAGGAATGTTCTCATACTTGTCTTCTTCTCCCACCAAATCACTGTAGCTCAAGCCCTACCACATGAAATCTTGTTCTACTTCTCCAGCCAGTATTTGTTTCCCCTTTTCTTAATTCCTATTTTAAGAACCAATACCACAGATTAGTATTTACCTGCTTATCTGTAATAGACCTCCCACCCAAAAACTGGAGGACAGAGTTGATCCCTCTCTGAAATATTTAATGATTTATCAGCCTACAAGATAACTTACTACTGGAATTTCAGGTTCCCATCTTCCCTATTGTGAATTGGATAAGATGCCCATTTATCTCTTAAGCCCACTGTAAATTTTCAAACCATCTACAGTTCATTTTGGAGGAAACTCCTAAATGAAGAATGTTGTTATTGTTGTTATGTGTCGTGGAGTTGGTTCCAAGTCATAGCAACCCTGTACAGTGTTTCCCAGGTTGTAAATCTTTATGGAAGCAGAAAGCCTCATCTTTCTTCTGTGGAACTGCTGACTGTGAGGTTAGCAGCCCGATTCGTAACCACTACGCTACCAGAGGTCCTTAAATGAAGAATAAACACATCTGTTTATCCTTTGATAGAGAATAAAAAGGCCTTCCTCAGAATGCTTCCTTGCTGGTCATTCCAAACACCTGTTCTTCTAATAAATAGACTTGTACCCTTTAAATATAAAGCTTCATGTTATAAATATATCTTATAATATTCTCATACAATATTAAGCCACATACCTTGGGACAGTTTAAACAATCTGTTATTCAAGCCTCCATCTCCATCCACAATGTAAATATCTCCTGTGTTCTCAACATATAATTCTGCAGGGTTGTCAAACTGCAAGGGATTCAGATCAGAGCCTCTTTTGCCTGGAGTACCCAAGATTTGAACAAGATCTCCAAAGGAATTATATTTTTTAACAGTATGACCATAGGATCCTGGAAAGACAATCATGCACACATATAACTACTGTACAAATATTTCTATTTTTCAAATAAGCAAAAATAAATACTTGATAGAATTAAACAGTAATACATGGTTGATAGACTCAGATAATTAAATATCATACTTAGTAAGCAACAGAAGTTCATTGTTAGTTATAGGAAAATCTAGTCATGAATTAAAATGTTAACTACTCCAAAATTAGTAGTGTTCAAATTCAAATAAAGCAGAAAACATATTGATTATACAGAAATCTAGTGATATTAACAGATTAGTGGTGTATCATCTTCTTAACTCATATTTGAAAGCTGTTATTTTAGTCATTTGTAGACAGAACGTGAATTTCAGTAGGCCATGCAAATGTTATCTATGAGACAGATGGCTTTGAAAATAAATTATTCAACTCATTAATATTTCTTTCCTAAGGAAATATTATTTTCAAATCACGAATATCTTCTCACATTAAAAGTTTGTTCAGTTAAAATTATCTCATAGACAAAAATATACAGTATTAATAAACAGAGAGAAATCATTAGCAGTTAGTAGAAATCAACTTGAAGGCATACAAGAGCGAATTCTTAACTGGTGGGCGTTCATATGACAAACTGGATAGGCAGAACTTACTTAAAGGAGCCTGGTATTTGGTTAGCAGTCAGCTGCTAAGCAAAAGGTCAGTGGTTTGAACCCACTAGCTGCTCTGTGGGAGAAAGAAGTGGCAGTCTGCTTCCATAAGGATTATAGCCTATTGCCCTATGGGGCAGTTCCACTCTGTCCTAGGGTTTCTAGGAGGCAATCGATGTATGGTATGATGATGATTCTGCCTTGAAAAATGTTTTTATCATGTGCTTTGGGAGCTTAAGTTAATGTTTGGAGATTAATTAGAGAACACATCCCTATTAAAGAAAACATCAAAGTTTCTAAAGAATTAGCAAAAGGGATAAAATAACCATAAGTAACATTTATAAAAATAGTGAGTTTGCAGCCATAATTCTACTGGAGGGAATTTATTTGTTGAAAAATGGAAAGGAATGCAAAAACTGTCTGCAGATCTATGGGTGGTAGGAAAAAAGTTATAATGGAAAGAATGATATTTTTGGACTTAAAGGAAGTCTATTTAAAAGAAAAAAAAAATTAAAGGATCACACATGGATGGAATAAATTAAAAAGCAAAGGCCTTTAGCCTTAGAATTCCATCTTGCCCCAAAATATGTAAAAACACTCAAATTTCATTACAAGTGAATTCAGAAATAATCTACTTTTTTTAGGTTAACCAAAATCTTACCATTCAACTTTTAATTTGAAATAAATGGGTAATCAGCTGAGGCTCAGAGCATTGGACTGCAAACTACAAGGTCAGTAGTTCAAATCCACCAGCTGCTCCTCGAAACCCAAGTAGGGTCACTAAGAGTCAGAAGCAAGTACACAGCACTTAACAATATAAACTGAGAGCTTGTTAATTTGAAAGAGATCTGATTTATCTGAAATGGAGAACCAGGTTTCCTTCAAGTTGTGAATTTAACAGGGTGTGGTGTTGTGGGTTAATGTGCTGCAAAGTCAGTTTGAACCACAAGGTCAGCGGTTCAAGCTCACCAGCTGCCCCTTGGAATACTATACAGGGTTGCTATGGGTATGATCTGATTCGACGGCACTTAATTAACTAAGAATTATTAGAAATAATGTCCTTGTCATTACATTCTTTTGTGGTAGTGTAGGAAAAGCACAGACTGTTAACTCAAAGCTCGGTGATTCAAACCCAGCAGCCACTCCTTGGAAATCCTATATAGGTTTACTATGGGTTGGAACCAAGTTGACAGCACATAGCAACAAAGTCCTTGTGTGATGCTGTGGGTTAACGCATTGGACTGCACCAAGGTTGCTCTGAACCACAATCTTGGTGGTTCAAGTTCACCATCCACTCCTAGGAAACCCTATGCTATGGGTTGGAACCGACTTGATGGCAGTTAACAATACCAACAGCAAGGTAATGCCGGATTATCTGGTATTGCTTTGTCTAAAGTCTTTGCAGTTTCCCGATAGTTATAAATTCAACTGTGCTTACTTTGCTTTTCAGCATTTTTTACAAAAAATAGTTGAAAGCAGAATGATTTCAGTCATGATGCAGTCCATGGGATTTCAGAACCATTAACAACAGTTTCTGCAAATCTTTGCACTTTGGACAATAAAGGAGTCATGGTTTCTTAGCAGAATCTCTTTTGAAAGAGAACAGGACCACTAAAGATTCCGTTCTTTCATTCAGCTTTAGAGAATGTCATTTTATCTGTCTTCATAGAAGTGGATCAGAGTTATTTGAGTAAAGCAACTGATGATTTAAAGTATAAAATCTCTTTATAAACGAAAAGAAAAACCATTAATAATTCTGTTGTTGTTAAGTGCCATGGAGTTGGTTTCGACCCATAGTGACCCTGTATAAGGTTTCCAAGGAGCAGCTGGTGAGCTTGAACCACCAACCTTGCAGTTCAAACGATTCTGCAGTCTGGCACATTAGCTCACAGTGCTACACCAGGACTCCATTTTAATTAATTAATTAATAATTCTAGCCTTCAAAACTCATTTGTTGATTCAAAATAAAGTTTTTGGAAACAAGCAATTTAATGAATCATAGGAGAAACTAAGATTAGATTCAGTACTTCTGATTTGTAAACGTACAAGCAAGAACAGGGCAAAGATGTGATTGGCAGCAACATCATGTAATAAATATTACTCCACATACCACTTCCTACGTCCGTGATCCAGACAGACTGCTCATGTGGTGTACTGGCAGCAAACATACCATGAGGAGTATCAACTGTGTAATTCCAGGCCCGTAGGAAATATCCGTCCTCTGTGAACACTAATACCTTTGGGATATTATCCCCTCTCTGAAGGTATACAAAAATAACCGCTTAGATAGAATCACTTTTAGTTAGAAGCAATCTTTATTTTGGCATAGAGGGGAAAAACTGAAAACTTAACAGAATTTGAGTAAATTTTAAAAAGTCAACCTCAAAAGCAAAAATATTAGTATTAAAAAAAAATGTTTACTCAAAACAAATTCAACAAGTAGCATAATATAATTGTACATGGCCACAAGAGTCCTGGTGTGGCGCTGTAGGATCAGCACTGGACTGTGAGGCACAAGGTTGGCAGTTCAAATCCACCAGCAGCTCCAATGGAAACCCTGTCCAGGGGCACTATCACTCGATAGCACTTACCAATAACAGCACAAGAACAAGACTGTTTTGTTTTGTGTGTGTGTGTGTATTCCTAATCCAAAGAAAAATCCCATTTTCACTTACTTGTGCTACATAAACCAATCCGTTGAAGGAATCAACTGCAACACAAAATGTTGTTCCTGTAAAGTATTCTGAGTACTTCGGCCAACTCACATCCAGTCTGTAAAGAGTATTCTTAGTTGTCCAGGAAATTTGAAGACCAAAGTTTCGTAAAATCTTAAATAACAAAGAAAATCAGGATTCAGTTTTCAGATTAAAACAAAACAAAAACGACTTATTTTACGCATGCTGTAATGAAAATTATTCCAAACACGTTTCAAGATCAAATCAATACAAGTCTCAATTTACGTAGAAATACAGTTCGAGCGAAGGGAATAGAGGAAATAAGAAGATACACACACACACACTTTTAACTCTTATCTTCCTTATCTCCAGCACACTCTCGACCTCACCTCCCAACAGCCTCATTACCAAACTCACCCGAGAGCCACAAAACCACGCATGCAAAACCAAAAGCGGCAGAAAACAGCCCGCGGCGGCCGCACAGACCCGAAATCTCGCCATGACGAGATGAGAAACCGGCTGCCAGGGGCGGCGCTATCAGTCCCTGAGCCAGAGCCCTATCTCCAACGCCCGTTCCGTGAGAGTGCAACGAAGGGAGTAAAACCCGGCGAGTCAATTTCGAGCAGAAATGTTCCCCGCGAGATTCCGGTTCCGAACTCGACCTCAGAGGATTCCGGCTGACCCGTGACCACCCTTCCCCGCCCCTAGGGGCGGTCCACGCTTTGGACTTCGTTCTCCCAAAATGGGAGTAACCATAGATATGCCTTAGTCACTCGCCCTTCATGCTTTTTCAATTCAGATTGAACAGTCAACACAAACACAAGTGAAAATCTAAAACATAAGACTAGTGACACCCAAAAAAAATGACGGCCAGCTTCTACAAAAGAATTCGGGCGCATAGATTCCGAGGTATCCAGGCACCCGCCGTGGACACCTACGTTCCCACACCAGGACCCCCTCCACGGCTTTCAGGAAAGAGGCCCAAACTGGAGGCGCAGAGTTGAGATTAGTCGTGCGCGACAGGCGTCGTTGAAAGTCCTCCATTAGCGAGTGGGGTCTGTAGGGGGTGCTCCAGCAGGGCGCTTGAAAATATTGGCGGTGCGGTATTCAGGAGTCCCCCTAGCCGTGGCCGTGACCCCCTTCCCCGGCTCCCAGTTCTCTCCAGCCGCCGGCTTGCTCCCGGAAGCCGCGGCAGCTGGTAACAAAGAGCCCGCCGGGCTGCCGCTGCCCGGGCTGCGCAACCACGGAGTCTGCCGAACGGCGAGGAGTGAGTGCTGCCGGGCCATGAGTGCAGACTCGCGGTGGTGAGGGCGCGGCCCAGGCACAGGTGCGAACCAGAGGCCGGAGCCTTGTTCCTTCCGGACATAGTGCTGCCGCTCTCCCGGCCGTTCCACTTGGGAAAGGGGCTTCTCGACCTCCCCCCGGTGGCGTCTTGTCCTCTGCTGAGGGGACCCGGTGGCCGAGCCCCCGGGGTTCTCTGCTGGACTAAAAGGACCCAGCTCTTCCTGCAGGACCCCTGAAGCTTTGTGTAAGCTGGAGACCCCTGGTGCGAGTGCTTTTTGTATTAATAGAAACTTTTTCAAGGCATCCTTTTTAGCCATTTTTGGGGAGTTTGCAGTGCTCCTTCTCTCTTCCCATCCTTTCTTCCTCCGGAATCCTTTTCCTCATCAACTCTAAACATTTTTTTTTTTTTTCATAATAAACGGAGCTCTGCGGGGATGAACGTTTTGTAATTGAATGTTTAGTTCTTGAAACCACTTCGATAACCATCAAGATGGACAAGAAGTCTTTTGAAACGGTGTTGGATGAAATCAGAAAGGTAATTAAACTGGATGATTTAAGTTATTCTAGGAGTTACGAATTTTTGTGTTTTATTCTCTTTGAAGTATTGCGTGTAGCTTGCACTAAATGAGAGTCCTAGAATTAAATTGTAAAACCGGTTTGGAATTAAATGAGTAGTGTAGGAGTTTATATCTTGATACATTTCGTGTTGCAAATAGAAACTCTTTTAACGCTTAAATTTCTTGAGAATCAATGCTGTGTAGTGGAAATTATAGTCAGGCAATCCTCGGTTCTGAAACTGGCTGTATAAATCCCTTAATGTTTAAGTGCCGCCAAGTCGTTTCCAAATCAAGGCAAATTTGTATAGGGTTTCCGAGGAGCAGCTGGTGGGCTTGAACCGCCGACCTTGTGTTTGGCAGTGATTGAATATTTCTGAGCTTATATTAGTTTCTCCTCTTTCAGCCATGCATGAATGTTTGAAAACTACAGATAATCTCTGTAAAGAGTTTCTTGAATGTGGCAGTTATGATTATGACTTTATAAAGGCTAGGCACCTGGACTGGGCTAAAATTAATGTTCTAATGAAAATGGCATTAAGTTCTTGGGAAGAGACTCTCAACATGAATTTCGAAAGTTTTCCCCACCAGATTCCCAAGTGTTTGCTTCTTTTTGAGTCTATCTATATGTAGCCTACCACCCAAAAAGAACCTGCCAGCTCCATTCTCTTGCTAATTTTAAGATGGGAAAATAAAATTGGCCTGTTTCCCTTCTGCCAGACTGTCTTTTCACGTGCAAAAGTAACTTATTTAGAGGTGAAAGGGCTTACTATGTACCATTGTTATTAATACCAGGAGCTTGGGGGTGGGGGTGGGGGGCTCCAGCATTTTCCTAGGGAATCCACTAGACTGCAGTGGGAAAGCAGAGGAATCTTTACCTAAGCAGGCTGCCTACCAATCTCTCATTTGGAGCAGCTCATGGGTTCAAGCCACCGCCCTTTCAGTTAGCAGTCCAGCACTTAACCACTGCACTTAGCATGTAACAGAAATTCAAGAAATAATTGTCTGAGACATCTAAAAATCACAGTTTGGTTGTCTTTGGGGTGTTCTGAAACTTTCATTACTTTTACAGAAACTGTGATATATGATTTATACTAACGTAGACGCCTCCTTAAGACAGTTTTGTTACCTTTCTTGATAGGAATGAGTCTGGTGGTCCAGGAAGTGTCCCTGCCCTCCTGGTGTTCCATTATACTTGGGCACTTTTGGAATCTATGTATGACTGTGCTGTTTACCTATGTTAATATTGGTTTTTATGATTTTTTAGGCTGTTTTGACAGAGTACAAATTGAAAGCAATTGAATATGTGCACGGATACTTCTCTAGTGAACAGGTATTCCTTATTATTTGTTTAAGCAAAAGTCTTTTTACACCAATGTTCTGTATAATATCTGTTTACCTGCTTGTTCTTGTTTAAGTGCTGTTTCAACACATAGCAACCCTGTATAGGGTTTCTGAGGAACTGCTAGTGGGTTTGGTCCACGGACCCTATGGTTAACAGTTCATTGCTGATCCCACAGCACCACACCAGGACTCCATTTACCTGCTCATCAAATTCAGAATGGTTTTTAGTTTGTTCATGTGTTGATTATGGAAGTTAAAAGGTTTATGCAATCCTAGAGCATTTTATAACCATACTCATTTTTACCACACTATCCTCCTGTGGCGCTATAGGATAAGTACTGGACCAAAGGTCAGTCGGAGCCGCAAGGTCCTCAGTTCAAACTCACCCTGTGAGTCAGAAACGACTTGACAACAACAAATCATCTTCTAACATGATTTTTAAATAGTGTCTTGATCATTTAAAAAGTCTCTCAATGTGTTTCTCGTTCTAGGCACAATATAAAGATAATTTTAAACTTCTAGTGGTAAACCTAACCAAATTTGTGTAGTATTTCTTAGACAGCAGTTATAAAATATGCTACATATTATGAAAATGATGTTATTGTTATGTAAAGCCGTGATATAAAACCTTCATGAATCATAAAAACATACTGTATCTAATAATTATCTGGCAGTTTCTCTAACTGCCAGAAGTCTATAATTTTTTTTTAAGCAAAGTGATGGTGGTAGTTGTGTGCCACTGAGTCAGTTCCAACACATAATGACCCTTTATAGGGTTTCCAAGGCTGTAAATCTTTACAGGAGTAAAACACCTTATCTTTCTCTCATGGAGCAGCTGGTAAATTTGAACTTCTGACCTTGCAGTTAGCAGCCCAGTTTATAATCCACTATGCTACCAGGGAATGTTAGTTTCTGAAAACTTTCACCCATCATTTTTTGGCAAGTTTACTAATTTAAATTCCCTGCTGATATTGTGGTTGGTTGGCTGCTAACCAGATCATCGTTCTGAAGCTACCAGCCATTTCTCTGGAGAAAGATATGGCAGTCTGCTTCCATGAACACTGTTGTTGTTAAATACCTTAAGTGCCTCAGTTCTTACCCATAGCCACCTTGTATAGGATTTCTAAGGAGCAGCTGGTTCTACCAGACCTTATGCTACAGTGCTTGTCCTGGAGTTCCACACCAGGACTCTATAAAGATAGTTGTAGCTAATGTCTTTGAGTGTGTTTGACTCATAGCCACCCAGTATAGGATTTTCAGGAGTGACTGGTGAATTTGAACCACCAACCGTGTATTTCAAACTGACCTTGTAGTCCTTCGCTTATCCTGCTCTAAGAAACTGTGAGCTTGTACTGTTGACCTTGAGAGGTTCGTGGAGTCCTGGTGTGGCGCTGGGGGCTAATGCGTGAACTGCAAGGTCAGCAGTTCAAGCTCACTAGCGACTCCTTGGAAACCCTATAGAGGGTCACTGTGGGTCAGAACCAACTCAACAGCACTTAACAACAACAAGGGACACTTGGAAAATACTTGTTAGAGAATTTGAGCAGAAGTAGAAATGTTAATCTGGAGAACAATTTTTAACTTACATTTCTTTTCAAAATCACCTTCCACCTTTTTAAGTTTCATCTGTTATTCTTTTTAAAATGATAATTGCTCATAGTTACGAATCAGGCTGTGAACCACAAGGTCACTGGTTCGAAACTACCAGCTGTTCGGCGGGAGAAAGATGAGGCATTCTGCTCCCGTAAAGATTTACAGCCTCGGAAACCCTGTACAGGGTCACTATGAGTCGGAACCGACTCCACGGCACTTAACAACAACAGCTTTTACAAAAATTATTTAAAGAAAAAAAATTTGTCTTTATGGTTTTCTACTTTTTTTAAAACAAGTATTCCCATTAACAGTAAGGACATCTGTGAGATGGCTTTTAAAAATTAATGTAAAAATTCCATTTTCTACAAACTCTTTGAAGCCCCTTCGTACTCTTACACCAAATTATCTTCAGAGTATATATGATACTTGTTTGCTGCTTATCTATCTCTTTAAAAGAGTAAAAAATATTTTGCTTTTCTTCACATATCACTCCAGTTTCCAGTGTTTACCATGCTTTGTGGAATCCTTGGAACCATCACACGTTTTCTTGAACTCACAGTACAATAATTAATTAGCCCAGATTTTAGTACCCTTTCTTCTTAACCTTTTTTCTGGACCATCCTTGGAGGCAGCAAAGTAGGGACGTGGTGGTCCTGCAGAGACTTCTGGGTTGTGATATCAGTGCACTAGTTCATGCCTTTCTGGCTGTCTCGGGGTTTCTCCCTCATTTGCTTGGTGTTCTGTGGTATGAGTGAGCCTTGTTATCTTGGCTTTCAACATGAGGCACCTTTTAGAAGTTGCTGGACTGATTCAGGAGCCTTGCTGGTATTGAGGGCTAAGCCCTGGGCTGCTAACCAAAAGTTTGCACCCACCAACTGCTGCAGGGGAGAAGGGTGAGGCAGTCTGTTTCCTTAAAGATTCCTGCTCTTGAGAACCCTGTGGAACAATTCTGCTCATTCCTATAGGTTTTTTGGTTGGACTGATTCATGATGACTTATTTTTTAGGGAAAAGATCAGTGGTATGAATGTTAGTATTATACCCTCTTGATTCAAGTAAAGTACAGAAGTTAGTGGACCTACCCTAAAATTACAGCACTGAACATGCTTTGTAATTGATTAAGATCTATTACTTTCAATGCTGTTATTTTCCATTCATTGTATAGGTAGTCCTTGGATTACAAACATCCCGTGGACTATCCCTACTTGTCCTTTAATATGTGCCTTTGCACTCATTTTGAAACCAACCCTTACCCATACACCCAAAATATCATTCGTCACAATCACCTTCACTTGGTGCATGTGCAGCTTTCAGCCTTTTCTTCCACTGAAAAAACAAAAAACAAAGCCCATGGCTTCAAGCCAATTCTGTCTGATAGTCATCCTATATAGAACCATATGTACCTGTTCCTACTGACTACTGATTCTTGGATACTATTAGGAGCCAATCTTGTTCATCATATGGGAGCTGTCTATATTACTTTATATTTCTGAGCTGGTATTTTATCTCCATGTTCTACTTTTTCTCTACCTTATATGTGGCTTTCATTGCACATCAGTACTGCACTACAGTACCTCTGTGGTGATGGGAATGTTCTCTCTGCACCAACCATACGGTAACTACTGGCATTTGAGCATCTGAATTGTAGATTTTCACACTTAGAAATTGAACTTTAATTTTCTTTTAATTTGAATTGATTTAATTTAAATAGCCACATGTAACTGCACTGTTAGAAAGTGTGCGGTCTAGGCGCTGGTGGCACATCACCCATGAGTCCCAGTTGCACGTTTGAATAAAATTTAAGTCCGGACACAAATCTTTTTTAATGTCTGTAAAAATGTTATCTGTAGAGCTGAATGAGTTTTTTTTTTGCTTTTAGGTGGTGGATTTACTAAGATATTTTTCCTGGGCTGAGCCTCAGTTGAAGGCAATGAAAGCTTTACAATATGTAAGTAACTTATTTTTTCTGAGAATGTAAAATTTTAAGTATTTTGACTTCTCCCAGTTTTCCATAATTCATCTCAAACTATAATTTATTTGCATTAGAAAAGCTGACTCTAAATTTTATCATTTGAGTATTCAAAATTTGTAGTTAGTTCCAACTCACAGTTGACCCAGTGTCCAGCAGAATGTGCCTGGTCCTGCACCGTCGCCACCTCATTCTTATGTTGGAGCCCATTGTTGTTACCACTGTGTTAATCCATTTCATTGAGGGCCTTCGCCTTTGGCTGATCCTCTACCAAGCATGATGTCCTTCTCCAGGGACTGGTCCTTCCTGATAACATAATCTAAAGTACGTCAGACAAAGTCTCGCCAGCCTCGTTTCTCTGGAGCATTCTGGCTATATTGCTTCCAACGTGGGTTGGTTTGTTCTTTTGGCATTCCATAGTACTTTTAATAATCTTCACCAAAATGCATCAACTCTTCCGTCTTCCTTATTCATTGCCCAGCCTTCACAAAGTGACATCTTTGCTTCTTAACAATTTAAAGACGTCTTTTGCAACATGTTGTCCAAATGCAGTAGTCATTTGATTTTCTGTCAGCTGCATCCGTGGGTTTTGGCTGTGGAGCCAAGTAAAATGAAATCCTTTACAATTTCATTACTTCAAAATAACTATGTTAAAAAATTTAAACTTCCTAAATTATATATTTATGAAGTCCTGGTGTGGCGCTGAACTTCATGATCCATTTGAACAGCAGGGTAGCAGTTCAAACCCACCAGCCACTTTTCTAAAACCCTATATAGGATTGCTTTTGAGTCGGAACCAACTTAACATCACTTAACAACAACAAATTATATATTCAAATTAATATGTACTATACCCTGGAGTCCTGGTGGGGCACTGTAGGTTAATGCACCAGACTGCAAATCCGTTTGAAGTGCAAGGTCTGTGGTTCAAGCTCACCAGTCACTCCTCGGAAACCCTATACAGGGTCGCTATGGGTTGGAACTGACTCGACGGCACTTAACAACAACATACCCTGGTAGCGTAGTGGTTACAAATTGGGCTGCCAACCTTAAGGTCAGCAGTTCGAAACTACCAGCTGTTCCGTGGGAGAAAGATGAGGCTTTCTGCTCTCATAAAGATTTACAGCCTCGGAAACTCTGTCGCTATGAGTTGGAACCAACTCCACGGTACATAACCGACCAACCAAACTGTGTACAGGGTCGCTATGAGTCGGAACCGACTCCACGGCACAATAACAACAACAATACCTGGTGTGGCGCTGGGGGTTAGTGCACCAGACTGCAAAGCTGTTTGAACTGCAAGGTTGGCAGTTCAAGCTCACCAGCTGCTCTTTGGAAACCCTATACAGGGTCGCTATGGGTTGGAACCGACTCGACAGCACTTAACAACAACATACTACTACTAAATTGTGTAGGGGACACAGTGGTTCCATTCTGTAATCACTGGACTGCCCACCACTAATTCTGCAGTTCTAGCCCAACAGTCACTCCCAGGAGAAAGATGAGGCTTTCTGTTTCCACAAAGATTTGAAGCCTCAGGAACCGTTTGTAGGGTCGCTTTGAGTGAGAGTTGACTGGAGGGCACTTAACAATAACAACGTAAATGATTACCATAGTGTCCTCATCTGGCAAATTAGAAGTCTATTCATAGGCAAACAAACCATAAGATTGAAATTCTTGTGTATTTTTATGCACAGCTTTCTATTTTTGATCTCTATCTCTACCTTTTTGTCTTTAGTCTTTGAAGACTTGTTGTTGCTAAGTACCATCAAGTCATTTCCAACTCATAGCAATGCTATGTAGGGTTTCTGAGGAGCAGCTGGTGGGTTTGAACTGCCAACCTTGGGGTTTGCAATCTAGTGCTTATCCTGTAGCGCTACACCAGGAGTCTATGAAGAGTTGTTATGAAGTGCTGTCGAATCGGTTCTGACTCTATGACTCTGTATAGGGTTTCCGAAGAGTGGCTGGTGAGTTTGAACTGCCAACCTTGCAAAGCAAACGACCTTGCAGTCCAGTGCTTATCCCCCAGCAGCATACCAGGACTCCGTACTTACTTTCTTTATGCCTGCACTGCCCAAGTGACCTTTCTTAATGGAAATGTTTTATTTCTTCAGTGTCCAGAATGGTAGCTATTGAAATGTGACAAATGAGACTGAAGGCACTGAATTTTAAATGGTTTGTGATTTTAATTTAGTAAGTCTATTCTTGTTGTTAAAGTGCCATCATGTCGATTTTGACTCATAGTGACCCTTTTTAGGGTTTACAAGGCTTTAAATTTTTGCAGGACCAGGAAGCCTCATTTTTTCTCACAGAGTAGCTGGTGGGCTTGAACTGCTGGCCTTTTGGTTCACAGTCCAGTGCTTATCCTATTGTACTTGCCTCTCAAGAGCCTGGGTCACAAGGAGTAACTAGACTAAACAAGTGTAGCTAGCTATATATGAATAGGATCTTGGATAATTTTAGAGGAATACCTTAACTTCCTAAACAGGACTGCCTGAAAACTTGGTCTGTTAGCTCTTCTTTTCCTCTTTTTACTCTAGCAATTTTTTTCTTTCATACTTTACAAAGAAGGAGTCCTGGTGTGGCACTGGGAGTTCATGCGCCGGACTGCAAAGTGGGTTTCAACCACAAGGTTGGGGTTCAAGCTCACCATCACTCCTCGGAAACCCTATACAGGCTTGCTATTGGTCTCAACCTACTCAAGGTCACTTAACTACAATGAAACCTTTACAACGAAAGGTTTATCTCACCCATTCCCTGGAGGTGAAAATCTTCCTCCTGGTACCAGAGGCAAAGCTCCTGAGAGGGAGGGTAAGAAGTATGGGTGGGGGCCTCAGCTTATGTTATCTAGGCAAGAGAAGCTGTCATAAAGACAAATTCATACATTTCTTTGGCTTTTGTCTAACCTTTTATGACAAATCAGCAATGATATGACTGATTGTTTTGATACTGGCTTTACCAGTTGGTTACTTAAAGGGCATTTACATGAATTAAGTGAACTAAATTTATAGTTCCAAGATCTTTACAGATATGTAAATAATATACACTGAAGCCTCATATGATACTTTGCATTACAGTATTATGTGAATGAATGACATGCATTTGGCATTAACACATGCCATGGTGTGAGGTGAGACTGACTGATGGTCCACATTGTTGTGTAACATGATTAAGCACCATCGGGGGCCTGGCATGGCTCTCTAGGATAGGCACTGGACTGGTAACTGCAAGGTCAGCAGGTCAAACCTACTAGCTGCTCCCTATCCACAGTCTCCATGTGGCAGAACCAACTTGATGGCTTTTCACAACAACAGTAGTGTTAAGCACCATGGGTTTGTACTTTGGGAATGGTATGCCTACTTACCTAACTGAGAAACTTAATTTCTTCCTAACTCCTTGAGCAGTACTATCTTCTATATGTGTAAACATTAATTTTTTGTATCACCTTTACTGAGGAAAGTAATATATGTAAGTTTTTTGTTGCTGCTATTACTGTTACTTTATTAACAGCCATGTTGAAAAATATAGTTAAAAACAAAGAGGCCATAGAACTTATAAGTTGACCTGTAATAATTACGTTGAAGGAGCCTGCAAAGACGTGACACCATGCATCTCTGCCACAGCACTCTGCTTCTCAGCTGGGCATCATAATCCATTGGAAAGACCACACAGAGCTCAGACAGACATCCATTCACAGTTAGGGGGATTATTAAGGAAGTTGACAGGTTACAGTTCTGGGTCAGAAAACTTCAGGGCACAGTTGTTTACATCAGGACAGCCTCTTCAACTGTACTCCAGGCAGGCCTCTCTGGCCCTTGGCCCTTTGGTCTGGCTTCACACTGTTCTAGCAATGTTGCATAGCTTTTTTAGGGCTACTGATCAATGCCCAAGGAATGCACCATTCCACCTAACCCTCAGCCTGAGGCACTTGGCTCTAGCTCCCCAAATTAATTGCCTGGAGTCCCCCACTCTGCAAATAAGCCTTCTGCCCAAAGTTAGCTTTGCTTGCTCTGTGGGCTGGGGAGTCCAGTGCTCTGGCTCATGCTCTGGCTCTTGGTTCTCCTGCTGCTGCTCCTTTGTTCCTTCTCTGGTTTCACAGCTCTGTCTCCTGTATTGAGAAGGTTCAATGCATAGATATCTTAGGGGTTCAAAAGAACACGCTCCACTCACGGCTCTTCTTCTTTGAAGGAACTGAGATCCCCTGGTCATTCTTCTGAATTGGCTCATTTTATTCAAAACCATGTTAGAGTTTCAGGTTGTTATAATCACAGTGAACCCCGTTACCAGTCACTCACAACTGAGTCATATTATCCATAAGCTGCTTTCCCCACCTTCTCTTACTCACACCCATCAGAAAAACTGCAATTTGTGGAAGTTTATAAGGATATGGGTGAAAAAGACATTCAGTAACTCCCTACACTGCAGAGCCTAATCAGCTCATTCACACAATTTTAGAACTTCCTTTTGAGTTGCCAGGGCTTATTTTTGAGGACTCCTAGTGTGACACTGTAGTATAAGCACCAGACTACAAGGTCTGTTTGAACCACAAGGTTGGCAGTTCAAACTCACAAGTAACTCCTTGAAAACCCTATACAGGGTCTCAGTGAGTCAGAACCGACTTGACAGGACTTAATAACAACAACAGTTTTCACCTAAAATGTTTACATTAATATTTAACTATACTTTCCAACGTATAACCGTTTGAGGACTAAGGTGCACCTGACCCAAGCCATGCTGTTTTCAATAGCGTCATATATATGTGAAAGTTGGACAGCGAATAAGGAAGGCCATGGAAGAATTGATGCATTTGAGTTGTGTTGTTGGCGAAGAATATTAAAATACCATGGGCTGCCAGAAGAACAAACAAATCTGTGTTGGAAGAAGTACAGCCAGAATGCTCCTTAAAAGCCAGATGGCCAGACTTCATCTCTCATACTTCGGACATAATATCAGTACATGGAGGACATTATGCTTCGTAAAGTGGAGGGTCAGCAAAAAAGAGTAAGACCCCAATGAGATGGATTGACACATTGGCAGCAGCAGTGGGCTCAAGCATAACAACAATGTGAGGATGGTGCAGGACCGGGCAGTGTTGCGTTCTGTTGTGCATGGAGTCACTATGAGTTAGAACCAACTCGTCAACACCTAACAACAACATACTTTCCAAATAATAAAAGACACGATTTTTATATTAATAGAAAATGGTGGCTGTACATCCAGCAGAAGTGGTTAATATCCTCAACTGCTTCACCTTCAGTAAAGACAAACTAGTTGCTCTTGAACTATTAGCTTCGTAAGTATTTTTCTTTTTACTTTATTAGAAAAATGTTTAATACCTTAAAATAATCTTTTAGCTTACTAGCGTGTATTATTGTGTTGGAATTATATTTGTGAATGGGACACTAGTCTATGAAAGCATAGTGCTAATTTTTTTTTTTTGAATGAATACAGTGCTTCTTCATATGGTTATAACTTACAAAATAATGCATCTCAGTAACTTGCTTTACCTTTGTACTTAGAGTGATTGGAAAGCTATCTGGTAAAGACATGAAATGTAGAATGAGGAGCTTCTGCCACTACTTACAGCACAATTTTTGGCAAGATGCATATGCTTTACTTGCTTGTAAAAATAAGAATCGAATCTAACATAACTTAGGGTATGTGAGTTCCAAGTCATGTTAGGTACATGAAAACATCTAGCTGGTGTTTGGTAGATGACTATAGGGAACGTAAAAACAAAGAAAAAGAAAGGAACCTGCCCCTTCAGGTAACTAGGAAGTGTCTTAAATTGCTGCTTATTTATGGCACATGGATTAATAATGTGTGGATGTTCACAAAAGCACAATATGAAAGTAAACCAGTGGTAAAGTTTCATTTTTAGATCAACCATGATTTTTATGCATTTGACATAGAGGTTTATTCTGTAATCTCATCTCTTAACATGAGAGAAAGATCTTTCCCATAAAGATGTATAGTCTTAGAAACTCTTTATAGGGTCTGAATGAGTTAGAATTGACCCAGTGGCATTGGGTTTTGTTCCAGTTTCTCTCTTAACACACTCCCTGTAACCAAACCCACCAAGATTGTGTCCGTTCTGACTCATGTTACATGTCATCAAGTCGGTTCTGACTCATAGCAGCCCTGTAAAGGTTTCCAAAGAGCGGCTGATGAGTTTGAACTGTCAGCCTTGCGATTAGCAGTCCAATGCTGATCCTCCAGCTCCACACCAGGACTCCTGGGTTTCTAAGACTAAATCTTTACAGAAGCAGACAGCCTCATCTTTGTCCTGAGGAGCAGCTGGTGGGTTTGAGTGACCAACCCAATGTCTAATCCAAAATTCCCTGTAGAGGGTATATTTTAAGAATATAAAAGTACTGATTTTTATTTACGATATTACGGTGGTGGTTTTAGGTGCTTAGTTTGATAAACTTCAGTTATTTACTATCTTTATGTAAGCATGTTACTTAAATTGGCCTAGTACAACTGAAAACTTAGAAGTGTGTGTACTGTTAATAGCAGTTGAAAAAAGAAATGGGTACATTGTCTGTCTGTAAGAGGAAGTAAGGGGTAAAGTAGTCAAACTTGACTCCCAGTGTAATGGAGATACATTCATTGAAATACGTTCTGCCCTGTATGTGTGTCTACATTCTAAAATGAAAAGCTAATTTTAATTTCCTTGGTAGAAACATTGTTGATGCACAGAATTCCCGTCCCATTGAAGATTTATTCAGGATAAATATGTCTGAGAAGAAACGGTGTAAGAGAGTTCTGGAACAGGTAATTTTCTCAAGACTGCTATGTCAATGGTACACAGTAGTATTGCTGAATGCTGGTGAAGAGAAAAGTACCTGCCCTGATCCCGTGTTAACTCTGGTGAATTGCCTGAGTACCATTATGAGAGGGGTCAAGAATGAATGTCACCTGACCACTCAGCATGGAGCTTCATGTGGTACTTCTGTCTCATTTCCTTTGTAGCTTTGGTTCCAGACTGTTGTCTTCAACTCTTTGTATTTAAAAACTTGTTATTGTTAAGTGCCATCAAGTTGATTCCTACCAGTAGCAACCCTGCATAGGGTTTCCGAGGGGCAACTGATGAATTTGAATCATGGACCTGCAATTCAAACTGATTTTGCAGTCCAATGCATTAACCCACAGCACCATACCAGGGCTCCATTTAAGAACTAGACTTTTAAAATTTGCTTCATCATCAGACTTGTGTTAATCAAGTTCCTAAGAGGCGAATATCAAAACAAAATTCTAGTTTATTAATATAAACTGTACAAGAGTGAGAAGTAATACTTTCCCAAGTGCAAAATCCTGATTTGATCTCGTAAGGTAATTGTTGCCTTAGAGTTGTTTTGGCTGGAAACTCAATTGTTTTATAGACTAGGCCTTAGCTCATTGTATATTAATTACTTTTCAGGAAAGTAAACTTATAAAAGAGCCTTTAAAGTGTTCATGCCTTTAGTCCAAATGTACTTGCTCTGAAAGAATAAGCAAAATTAACTTATTCACCTACTACTTTCTATAATGAGACCCTGGAGCTTCTGTATCTATAATGACACTGTAGGATTCGCACTGGAGTGCTAACTACAAGAAAGCCAGTTCAAACCCGAAGGCACTTAACAACACCACCTATTTTTAATAACCAAAAAGTAAGGTCATTTTTAGGATTGTATTACTTGTAGGAGGCTGGTTAATACAAGCTACAATTGCACTATTTACAGACAACTCCTACTTGCCTTTTAATTCAAGACTTAATTGGTTCTGTCACAACCAGTGAAGTAAAATAAGAACAGGCTAGAATGGTTACAATTTGGGTGATTTTGTTGTTAAATGCTGTTGGGTATTTTAGAACAGAAATTATAGGTCGAAGCCCTACAATGGGAGACTCAGAAGAGTGCATAAGCCCTTTCAGGAGACTTGGATTATTGGCAGGACTGGAAAACCACATTCAAAGCAGCAGAGTTGGCTTTCATCTTTGATTGGAGTGCCACCATCTTGGAGGCTTTGCTTTATTATTATGTAAATTTAACCTCATTTAGAAACAATTGAACCAACTCCTATCCCTGTACCCCAGAATTCTTCATCTCAGTCACCCTCACTTGCTGCATGTGCAGCTTTTAAATCTTTGAGAAGGCTTCTGTCCTTTTCTTGCTAAATAAAGAACAGAAGTGACTGTTCTGGCTGACCTGCATATTCACAGAGACACAGGAGCAGATTTTGCATATAACCCGATGACTGCTGTACACAGCTACTATAACTGTATGTGTTTGTTGAAAGTGGATTTCTAAAGGCATTATAACTATGTACCAAAATAAGACATGTACATATGTAAAACTTAATATTCCTATACTGCAATGTGAATGTATTTGAGTGCATGTTGTGTGATAGGGCCCTGATGCGGCTCTGTAGCATAAACACTGGACTGATTACCACAAGGTCAGCAGTTCAGACGCACCAGCCACTCTTGAAACTGACTCGTTGGCATACAGCAACAACAGTATTGTATGATATAGGGCATTTTTGAGCACCAGTTCAAAATGTATCAATATTTTTTGGGATATGTAACAAAAAACAAACTAGACAAAAATCTCCTGCCTCCGTATATCTAATAGTGTGTTGCATTGTATGTAGCACAGTATTCCGTAAATAACTTCTCCGTAACACAATTCTGGACACCCAATGCCCTGTTTTCTCAGCTGAGCTGTAAACTCTTTCAGAGTAGGGTCCATGGTTCTGCAAATTCTCTGTCCTCCTTGCTTTGTGTATACTACGAGTTCAGTATTTGTAGCATTGGACTGTCATTTCTTGGTGGTGGAGAGATTATTCAGATTAAATAGCAGTGAACATTTCTGCACACAATTTACATAACCCATTGTGAAAATAACTTTTAGGAGTAGATTTGTTGCTACATTAACAGTATTATATGTGACCATTTTAATAATACCATTTAAATAAAGTGATTTTAGTCATGTTCACATGTAGTAGATTGGCATATGAACAGATTGAATACAATGCTGTTCTTTATCTTATGTTCCTTAGCTGGGCTTCTCAACACCCAGAATACTGACTTTCTGAGTGCATAGTTTTTTACTTCACTATTGTTTGTTATATTACAGGCTTTTAAGGGAGGCTGCAAAGCTCCTCATGCTATGATATCTTCCTGTGGCACAATTCCAGGAAATCCGTATCCCAAAGGAAAGCCTAGTCGCATAAATGGAATTTTCCCAGTAAGCATACTTTTATGAATATATATGAAGGTTTTCATGGCTAATAATTAAAATTTTCAGTTTTGATACTTTTAAAATGCCAATGTTGTTTTCACAAGGGAGAGGATTTACTAACTTAATTCATTTACTTAATTCACTGATTTGTCTCTAATTGAAAGTTCATATTTAAGGTATATTAGAATATTTGAAATCTAAAGAAAACAAGCCATACATAAAAGAGCATGATTTTTGTTTTATTTTTACTTTGTTTTTGCAAGCATTCTATTAATTAAACAGCATTTGTCAAGTATTATATATTCCTTAGGCAGTTTCATAGTTACATTTGGGAGACGATGTTTGTAATGTTCCAGTTGTGGAAAATCCCATGGCATAAATACTTAAACTGAAAAGTCATGTATGTTGGAAAGAAACCTGTTTTTATATTACCTGATGGTGGTGGTGTGCCGTGGAGTCAGTTCCACTCATAGCGACCCTGTACAGGGTTTCCAAGGCTGTAAATCTTTACAGCAGCAGAAAGCCTCATTGTTCTCCCGCAGAACAGCTGGTGGTTTCGAACTGCTGACTTTGAGATTAGCAGCCCTATTTGACTTTGAGGTTAGCAGCCCTATTCGTAACTACTATGCTACCAGAGCTCCATTTATATTATTTAGTGTTCCTCAAATCATTTTGTAAAATAATGGAATATTTTGTTGGTTGTGTAACAACCCCAAAATTTAATAAATTAAAACAGCACACATTTGCTGCAGTACACAGTTTCTGTGGCCCAGAATATGGGAGTATCTTAGTTGGATGGTTCTGATTCAAGCTCTCTTATGAGGCTTGATTGGAGCTCAAGAATATGGTTCCAAGAGTGGCTCACTTATATACCTGGAAAGTATAGGCCTTTGTTCCCTGCCACGGGGACTGCTTGAATGTCCTCTGCTTGGCAGCTGTTATTTTCAAGAGCAAGTGATCGAAAAGTGGGAACGTGGCAGTTGCACTGTCTTTTTTAACAGTCTTAGAAGCCAAACCCCAGGATTTCTGCAATACCTTATGTGTGACACAGATCAGCTCTGTGCACTGTGGTAGGGGCAGCCCAAGGCATGTAGAAGCTGAAGATCTTCGGGGCCATTTTGGAAGAGACTTTCATACTAATTAATGTGTACTATTTGCTCTGTTCATTACAGAAGTCTTGAATGAGTCTGATTTACCCTTGCATAGTGTAAGCAGTCACACTTAATGGTTACAGAAAATACCACTTTTCTCATTTTTTTTTTTCAACTTTATTTTAAGTCTTCTTGATTCTCTGAACATTGTATGTGCAATGACATCAGAAGTCTTATTTTTAGGTACTTCTTTTTGCAGCTAAAAAAAAATAATGTTACACACTTTATGTTCCTCTTCTCCCCTTTGTGTACTGTATGTTTGCTTCAGTGTAATTCCAAATGTATGGAAGATTCTCCAGCATGTAAAGGTTGAGAGCCTAGTTAGGTTGTGCTCCCTGCCAGAGCAGAATTGGCTCTATAAACCAAATTTCTTAAACTTCTACCAAGTGAAGTACTTTACTTCAGTATAACACTAGTGTTATTGTTGGTTTGGGGTTTTGCTTCATTTTGTTCTGAATGACGTTTTTTTTTATTAGGGGACCCCATTGAAAAAAGATGGTGAAGAATGTACCAATGAAGGCAAAGGAATCGCTGCAAGGATTCTTGGCCCATCTAAACCAGTATGTTTAGAAAATAAATGATTAAGCAAGTTCTGTCTGTACAAAGCATACATTTAGTTTTCGTGTTGCCAAGTTCAAAGTGTAGTAACTAGAAAGCCTTGGAGAGTGAGAGTGAATGGTGTAGGAAGAATTAATTCTTGGTCAGCAATGTTTTGGTATTTTTCATTAATCTACTTTAAAGTGAGTCCAGTTCATTTTATTTTTAATCCTGTGACATTGAACTGTGCAGTTGGAAGCATGGAGTAGGGAAAGTTGACTTTAACTTATACTGCTCACTGCCATTGAGTTGATCCAACTTTGAGTGAGCTGTAGGATAGAATAGAACTGTTCCCTAGGGTTTCCAGGACGGTAACTCTTTACGGGTGCACACAGACTCATCTTTTACCTGTGGAGGAACTGGTGGGTTTGAACCATTGACCTTATAGTTAGCAGCCCAGTGTTTAAACCATTGTATCACCAGGGCTCTTTAACTGAGATTTTAGTTTGACTAGACTTTTCAAAGCCCCCTCATATTAGTGAAGCAGGAATGGAGCCAGAGGCTTGAGTGTATTTTTTAAGAGAGGAGGATAGTGGCTGGTTGAAATATAAGATGAATAGGAGAAAACAGCCTTTTGATTGAAGAATTGTTGAAGTACCAGAGGCCTTCACTGACCACATAACAACTCCTCTGACGAACCAGTCACAGACTCCTCTGTGACTGCACAAGGCTATTGCTTCAGACAGGCCCAGCATTAGGAGAGCTACAAAGAATCTGAGCCCCTCCCCACAGGTGCAGTCCCTGACTCTGCCCCAGCTGCTCGTTCTTTCTCTCAGGAGATTCTAATAGCGGATTCTGTAATGATCAGTTTTTTTAATGTACTTTGCGGCTCCATCAACTATAAAATATTTTCAGATTTGTGGCTATTTCATAAAGCAAAAAGGCTAAAAGCATTGAATTCCTAACTCCAGTCTGGGCCGTGTGGTTCTGTGGTAGCATGTGTGAGCCTCCTAGCCAGTACGCCTCAAGCAGTCACCCCTCCTCTGTCAGTGGAGCCATGTGTGTTACTGTGATGCTAAACAGACTTCAGTGGAGCTTCCAGACAAAGACAGACAAGGAAAAGACAAAAAGCAGCTAGTAAAAACCCTGTACATCATAGCATCTGATCCATTGTATATGGTGCCATGAGCCCATGACCCATTACATGGCAGCTAAAAACAATACTGAATTCCAACGTACAGTATATAAGAGTTGCCAAAATGCCAAATAGTACGACAACCAGTACTTTTTTCCCCAAAGGTGAAAAGAGGATGATAATGGTAGGATTGAGCTTACGAGGATCTTGCCATTGGAGGTTCTTGTGGTTAATCAAGATTCTAAAGCCCTAGCAGGTTTCTTGTGTTACATAAGTGGAGATGGGTGTTTATATATTGACCTAGGCCAGGTGAGAAGAGGACATTGCTTTGAGTATAATAAAGACTGACTTTTATATAAGGAGTGATAACTGAAATAAAAAATAAACACTGCCACTGTTGTCTTTGGAAAAATTTACCTTTGGTATTTAATAGGGGTCGCATGTACAAAAGCATTTTTCATTTGTGCCATATGTTGGTACAGTAGGATTTGACATGGGGGGCATTAGAGCTATGTACTGTTGTGTTACTTCTGGTTCATAAGCACCCTGTATAGAATTTCTCAGAGCAGCTGGTGGGTTTGAGTTGCCAGCCTTGTGGATTAGCAGTCCAGCGCTTTTCCTACAGTGCCACACCAGGACCTTTTAGCCTAGTGTTGTTAAGTGCTATATAGTTGGTTCCAGCTCATGTTGTTAGTGCTGTTAAGTCGATTCTGACTGTATGCAGTTTCCGAGGAGCAGCTGGTGGGTTTTGAACTACTGACTTTGTGATTGGCAATCCAGTATTTTTCCTACATTACCACACTGGTACTAATTTTGTTGGATAGCATGTGTTTTGCCTTTTGCTTTGTTACTTTATTTTCTAACTGGAATATTTTCTCCTTCACCTAGCCCCCTTCAACGTACAATCCACATAAACCTGTTCCTTATCCCATCCCTCCATGCCGGCCACATGCAACTATTGCACCAAGTAAGGAATTCCTTTCTTTTCCCCCTGTATTTTTTAATTTTCTGTTTTTGTTTCTTTTTCTTATTATTAAATTGAAAGTAATTGTTGGCATACAACTGTTTACTCCTGAAATCGAATGGGTCTCATTTGACCATGGTCAGCTCTTAGCACCTGTTCCGAGCAGTGTGGCCAACAGTGTTTGTGTGGGGATTTTATTCTGAGAAATTAAGTATAATATTTTTTATTGTGGTAAGAAAGCATTTGAAATCAAAAATTATTTTTAATGATTATTTTCAGTTTTCATTTTGGTAAATTAATAAGAAATCATCTTGAATCCCTTTTTGATACTTGATATTTAGATCACAGGCAGCACTAATGTATTTAGTTTAGAAAAGTTAGGGGTGTGTGCTTAACCGGAAAGACAGTTTCAAATATGGTAGGTGTCAGCCACTATCCAGTTCAGTTAGTTTACATGTGGAATGAACATGTAATGAGAAATATGAATCTCCAGTTCTCCCATTTGGTCCCAGATAATTCACATGATTTTCAGGTATCGAGGGAACTTTAAAGGGTAGTTTTTATATATCACTGTCACCTAACCTTAGGCCCAAATTTTCAGCAATTTTGAAAATATATTAGACAACTGTATCAATACTTTTGGCTGCAAAATAAGACTCTACTGTAATTCTTTTTCTATTATGTTTTTTATTTTAGGTGCTTATAACAATGCAGGTCTGGTACCATTAGCAAATGTCATAGCTCCAGTTGACCCTCCTCCACCACCATACACATCTAATCCAGTAGGAACAGGTAAAGTCATGATATTACAGTTGGAGGGTAAAGTTATATGAGGTAGTGGAGTCCAGGATAAGGGTGCAAACTCTTGAGCCTGGTGGGACTGATTGTGAGTCCTGGGTTGTATGGGCTTCCATTTTCCCATTTGTTATGTAGGATAGCATTTACTTTAATGGTATTAGTATTGTTTAATAGTATATGCAATGAATATTTGATGATTTACCGTGTGCTATTTTGTAGGTGCATAAGTGAACAAAATGTAATTCCTATTTCCAAAGAGTTTGTAGTCTATTGGGAAATATACAAAAGAATAGAGAACATAATTTTTAATATATTTAATTTCTGACATCATTATGTAATATACAACAAATGGCACATTAGATTTTATAAGATGAAATGCAATGATTAGTGTGCTGTGACATAGTTTAGGTGCTGTGGACATACTAGCCCACATAAGCAAATGTGAGCTGTTCACATAATTAACCACTAAAATGTATTGACCCAGTAGAGCAACTGCCATTTATAATTGAATTAAGAGTTTTTAAAAAACTAAAAATGAACTGGTGGTATGGAACCAAGATGATGTATTAGACAGAGCCTCTACAGCAGAGACTGGAGAAACCTTGTGAAATGCATATGCATTATGGTCCTGGAATCCAGAACTGCAAAGGAATGGATCACTCATGAGAGGTATGGTAATGGCGCTGTAAGGTTGGTTTGAACCACAAGGTCGGTGGTTCATTCAAACTCATCAGGAGCTCCTTAGAAACTATATGGGTTCACTATGAGTCAGACCCTACTCGAAGGCACTTAACAGTAACAGAGGAGTAAATTGCCATCCGGCTCAGTGCAGCCATTTGGCAACTGCACTGCCCGCACATCAGTTATCTGCATCAGAAAGCTGTGATATTCCGTCTTACCGCAAACAGTCTGCTCTGACCAGAAGGCCCCTCACTCAGAATCACCTAGTGGGCAGTCACATCCCCTGTCCTCATTGCCAGTTTTGTGCCCACATAGCCATTTTTCCCTTTTACCCTTTTCTTTATTTTCTTAGTTCTTTCCTGTCCGCCACCATTGTTTATCCTTTTTATTCTTTCTTCCTCTCCCTCCCAGTTTGTTTGTTTTTTTTCTGTTTGATTATTTTTGCATTAAGTAGCACCCACCCCTGGCCCTTTGTAGAGTGAGCACAGCTTTTATGCGTCAGCCTTGTTTGGCAGCTAACCAACTAAGAGACAGGTATTGAACTTACCCTGTCTGGAGCAAAGAGGAATAGAAAATCAAAGAAGCAAGGAAAAAATTAGTCAAAGTCGGATGGATCATGAGAACCCCAGCCTCCAGGAACCTGAGTCCAGAAGAAGTATATGGTGCTTGCTGCCACTGCTGACTGCTCTGAAAGGGATCACAAGAAGGGTAGAATGGGAGGAAAATATGGTGTCAAGCTTAAAATTTTAAAAACCAACCAAGAAATGGGCCTGTGGGTCTGATAGGGACTATGACCCTTATGCAGTCTGGGGCTCCTCTTTCAGCCAAGTGATGGTGAACTCTTAACAAGGAGATATGCACTGTTTAGAGCAAATGACCATATGTGATTCAAAGATAGTATTTAGCCAGGATTGAAACTTAAGGCCGAATGGGATAGAAAAGAAAGATGAATAGAAATGGTAAACAAGGCCTTAAGTGGGAAGTGTTACATTGTGGGGATTGCCATTAGTGTCACAAAAAGTGTCTGAATTTTTTTACATAAAGCTGATTTGCTCAATAAAAATATTTTTAAAAAGAAAAGGAATGAACAAATACCAAAGGTATGGAGCTGGGAAGTGGCATTATACGGTATGGGTTTTTAAATGATTAATCTGGAATTGGCATTGAATCATGTATAGAATGAGAAATGGAAACAGGGACCACTGCATGTGTCCATGTAAAAGTCTCTATCCAGGTGAGATGTGTGATTCTGAAAGCCCAGTATGTTGTTGTTTGTTGTTGCTAAGTGTTGAGTTGATTCCGATCATAGCAAAGCTGTGTAGGGTTTTCAAGAGCTGCTGGTGAGTTTGAACCGCCAACTTTGCAGTTCAACCAACCTTTTGGTCCAGTGCATTATCCTTAGCTCCACACCAGGACCCCAGAAGTCCAATATGTAGACCACTGCAAATGGATTGGGTTCCCGTGTAACAATTGTGAGGATGCTGCGGGACCAGGCAGTCTTTTGTTCTGTGGTGCATAGGGTTGCTGTGAGTTGGAACCAATTCAGTGGCACCTAACAGCAACAAATGTAAGGTTGACAGTTAGAATCCACCAGCCACTCCATGTGAGAAAAAAGTCCTGGCGATCTTTTCCCTTAAAGATTTCTGCCTAGGAAACATTCGAGAGCAGCTCTACTCAGGAATGGAAAATAACTATAAGGGGGTCTGCCAGCGCTCTAGATGGGCCTTTGGTGGTGTCATGGTTAGCACTCGCCTGCTAACAGAAAGGCCAGGGATTTGAACCCACCAATGGCTTCTAGGGACAAAAGATCTAGCAGTCTGCTCCACTAAAGTGGGGTGAAATTTATGGTGATGCTGTATGTAACAGAATAAAACACTACTTGGTTCTGAGTATCCTCACAGTTGTTGCTATGTTTGAACTTATTGTTGCAATGCTGTCAGTTCACCTTGTTGAGAGCCTTCCTCTTTTTTGCTGACCCTCTACCAAGCATAATGTCCTTCTCCAGGAACTGGTCCCTCCTGATACACCTGTGTCCAAAGTACCTGAGATCGAGTGTCACCATGCTCACTTCTAAGCAGTCTCTCTGAAGCATTCCAAGACAAGTTTGGTATATTCAGTATTCTTTCACCAACACCAGGAAAGATTATAGCCTAAGAAACCCTATGGGGCAATTTGACTCTGTCCTCTAGGGATGCTGTGACTCCAGACCAACTGGACAGTCAACAACAAAACCATCACTGGATTGGCTTTGAATTCCCTAAATCACTTGTTAAGAGCGTCTCAGGTACACATTCCTGGAGAATCTGATTCAGTGGACTAGAGGGATTAACATGCAATCCAGGTGATTATTAAATTTAAGCAAGTTTGTTGTTGTTAGGTGCCATCAGATCGCTTCCAACTCCTAGCCACTCTACAACAGAACAAAACTACCCAGTCTGGCATCATCCTCATAATTGTTACCTTTGAGCCCATTCCTCCCGCCACTGTTGTCAACCTATCCCATAGAGGGTTCTTACTCTTCACTGACCACCCAACACAATGGAACAAAACACTGGCCCAGTATTGTGCCATACTTACAGTTGTTACATTTGAGCCCATTCCTCTTTTTCTCCAAATCTCCACTTTACCAAACATGCTGTCCTCTAGGCACTGGTGCCTCTGAAGTATAAGATAACAAAGTCTCACCATTCTGACGTCTAAGGAGTATTCTGGCTGCACTATTCCAAGATGTATTTGTTCTGGCACTCTGTGGTGCTTTCCTTTTTCTTCTCCAATACCATAATTCAAATAAATCACTTTTTTATGGTCTGCATTGTCCAACTTCCATGCATATGAAGTGATGAAAAAAAGCATCAGGCACACCTTAGTCCTCAAACTGGTATCTTTGCTCGTGAACAATTTAAAGAGATCTTGCGTAGCAGATTTACCTAATGCAGTAAGTTGTTTGATTTTGACTGCCGCTTCCATTTCCATGAGTGTTGATTGTGGATCCAAACAAAATTAAGTCTCACAATTTTGATCTTTTCTCCATTTATAATGATGTCATTTATTGATTCCTTTACTTTGAGGTGCAATCCATGCGGAAGACTAGTGTTTAATATTCACAAGTATTTTTTTTAACTTTATTGTGGGTTGATTGAAGGTTTACAGAGCAGGTCATCTGTTTTACATTCAACAAATCATATATTTTGCGTCATTACATGCTTGCAATCCCTTCCGGGTCCCAACAGTTAACAGTATTTACCTCTATTGCATTCCTCCCTGTCTCCCGCTACCTTCATCTTTCCTTGCTCACCTGCCTTTTGCTGTATATTGTCTGCCCTACCACTCATGTGTCTACCCTCTAGCCCTTGAATAATTCCCCTTCCCCTCAACTATCATAGATTTCTTTTATCAAGAAGACTTTTTTTAAAAAAACTTTTTACAACATTGGTCTCCTAACAGTGTTCAGTGTTTGCCCTTTTGTGATTGACTAATTTCACTCAGCATTCAGCCATGTCGTGAGGTGTTTCATAGATTCATCATTATTATTCAACATTTTGTAGTATTCCATTGTGTATATGTACCAAAATTTGTTTAACCATTCTGTTGGTGGACATTTAGGCTGTCTCCATCCTTTTGATGTCTCTTGTAGACAGCATATTGAAGAGCCTGTTTTCTTATATACTCTGATCTTTGTGTCTCTTGACTGGTACAGTTAATCCATTTACATTAAGTGTAACTATCAGTAGGTATGAATTGAAGTCATTTTTCTGTTTTTGTTTTTAGTGCTTCTGCTGGATTCTTTGTTCCACATAACTTTCTATACTGAGTTTATTTTGTGGGTTTTCTTTAAATTTTCATTTCTGTTGTGTTAGTCTTTACTAAAGGAGTTCTGGTAGTGTAATGGTTACAAGTCCGGCTACTAACCACAGATCAAAAAAAACCCCAGCTGTTCTGAGAGAGAAAGATGAGGATTTCTGCTCCTGTTAAGAGTTATAGTATCAGAAACCCTATATAGGATCTCTATAAGTCGGAACCGACTCCATGGCACACAACCACTACCATCACCAGTCTTTACTAAATCTTTCTGATTTTCCTCTTTTATTTTGATGTATAGATGTATTTATCAGTTTTTGTTGAGATTACCCTGTAAGTTTTTCCCCCCAGCTTATAACACTCTTTATCAGGATATGTCCAAATTTCACTGTCGTATTTGAGAGACATCTTTGCTAGGTGTATGATTCTGGTTTGGCAATTATTTTCGTTCAGGGTTTTGTATATGTTATCTCATTGCCTTGTTACCTGCATGGTTTCTGCTGAGAAATCTTACAGGTTTTATTGGTTCTCCTCTGGAGGTAATTTTTTGTTTTTCTAAGCTGCTCTTAGGATTCTTTTCTTGTCTTTAATTTTGGAAAGTTTGATTATGATATGTCTTGGTGATTTTCTTTGAGGATCTATCCTGTTTGGAGTTTGTTCAGTTTCTTATGCTTATCTTCTTGTCTTTCATGATGTTAGGGAAGTTTTCTTCCAACAACTCTTCAACAGTTTTCTCTGTGCTTGTCTCTTCCTGTTCTGGAATTCTGATCACCTGTAAGTAGTTCCTTTTAATGGTGTCTAACATAACTCTTAGACTTTCTTTGGATTTTTTTATTCATATTTTCTGATTATTCTTCTAGCTTACTAGATTGAGAGATTTCTCCTGAAGCTCATTAATTCAGGCTTCCATTGCTTCGCATCCTCATTTCTTCCAGTTGCTTTATTTCCTCTAAGCTCAAATCAAGTATCAGATTTTTTTCTGACATCCATTAATAATGCATTTTTTTCTCTTCAACTCCCCAGATTAGATTCAGCTACTCTGCAGCTAAGTGCTATAACTGATGAAAGTTGCAAACATTTTTTCCAAAATTTTCTGATTTATTTTTATGATACCTCTTGACATTAGAATTTTACCTTTGTGAATCAGCAAATAGAAGCTAGTTTTTAAAAGCTGGAGCCAAGTTTACATGTCTTGATTGAAATTTTCTTATCGCTAGCTAGTCCAGATATTCTAGGTCTTCTAAAACATTTATTCTATCTGGAGTATATATATATATGTTGTTGTTATGTGCCGTCGAGTCGATTCCGACCCATAGTGACCCTGTATAGAGTTTCCGAGGAGCAGCTGGTGAGCTTGAACCGCCGACCTTGCAGTACTAACGTCTTTGCAGCCTCGAGCATTAACCCACAGTGCCACACCAAGACTCCATATATGCATATATAGGGAGTGAAATAAAGGTTTCTTTTCTAGAGAGTAGTCAATTTGCCAGCATTTCCTCAGTGATTTAAAATGCCACATTGTGTTTTCATATACACACATGCATCCAATTCTGTATTCATTCTGTTCTAGTTGAGTTTTATGTTATGATTATGCTGTATTGATTTGACTAGCAGATGTATAGTATATTGTTATTTCCTTAAACTAAGCTCACTATTGTTTTTACATTTTAAAAATTCTTTAAATGTATTCTTCCATATTTTAAAATCAGTTTGTATAATTAAAAATAAGTTTATTTATGCACATAGAGTTGCTAGCATTTTTATGATAAGCAGTCCTACCATCCAGTGATGTGTGTGTCTGTCAGGTATTGGTGTTTTCTTCTCATACATAGTTTATGTCTTTTGAGAAGATTCTGTAGTTTATCTCAGGTAGCCTTTGCATTGAAGTTTATTGTTATGTATTTTAGAGGCTTTTTTGGTTGTAATTATAAATGAATGTTTCATTTCTGTATTTTAATAAGCATATAGAAATGAAACATTCATTTATAATTACAACCAAAAAAACCTCGAAAATCCATAACAATAAACTAGAAATGAATCATTCATCATGAGTCATTTGTATGGTTGTCAATATACAGGAACTAAAATTTATACTTAACTATTTTGTTTCTATATGGAGCTCTGGTAGTGTAGTGGTTATGAATCAGGCTGTGAACCTCAAGGTCAGCAGTTTGAAACTACCAGCAGTTCTGTGGGAGAAAGGTGAGGCTTTCTGCTCCCTTAAAGACTTACAGCCTCGGAAACCTGTATAGGGTCACTGAGTCGGAACCGACGCCATGGCACATAACAACAACAACAACAAATTTTGCTTCTGTGTTCCTTCTTTTTCATCAAATTATGGATTTTGTTGAAATGCTATACATTTTCACTTCTGAATACATAGCGCATTACTTTTTCTTCTGTTCTTCAGTTTCCTGCACTGATATGCTTTTTCTAATTTTCTTTTGATAGAAAAATGTCTTTAAGTATTTTCATTAGAAAGGGTACATTCTTCCTAATCTTTTTTTTTTTTTTTTTTCCTTTCTCTCTTTATTAGAAAATTGGTATCTTTCTGGAAATGTAAAAAGAAAATCTGCCTTATCTTTAGGTTTCAGAACTATCTTTTTTTATATGTCATATTTTGCTTACCATGCCAGGGTTTGCCTCTTAATCCTATCACAATGTTGGTTTAGTTGCCGGTAATTTCCCCCCATAATGGAATGATCCATTAGTCATTCATTGATTAGACAGGTCCTTCTCAAGGAGGGCTGGTCATATGCTGCAGGTTGTTGGTCTGATCTCACTGACTTCAAGTTCGCCTCATCTTGGGTAGTTTTTGATAGCTCCTGACAAACTCCGTTTTCCAGAGCTGAGTACAAGTAGGCAGATTCCAATTGCTTTGTGTTTGCTTGGGTTACTGTATTGGACCCTTCAGATAGCAAATGGAGTTGGCAGTGGATCAGCAGTCACCTCCCACTTCCATGTCCTCCAGCTACTGTGGGCAGTGTGCCCAGAAGTGGCTCTTCTGTAAGCCAGCCATAGGCCAGGTCTGTACTCAGACCATCATATCTTCAGAGCGTGTTTTAAAATATCTGTCAGATAGCAGTGATTATGTAAAACTTGACAAGTTAAGGGGAGGCCAGATGACTAAAGCGTTGCATGCGATCATATCATAATCTCATGGTGTTACAATTGCAGCTTTTGTTTATTTTCTTACTTTTTGCTATACATGTTCTTTTTTCTATTTTTATAGCATAGTGCACATAAATATTTATACCCTAGATTTTTTTTTACCTTAATCTCTAATTAATATGATAGTGAATCATTTGGTTACAGCTTGAAATCAACTGTTTTTAAAATTTATTTCATTTTATCTAGAAAATGAAGACCTTTCCAGTCAGTCAAAACCTGCACAGAATCCAAGTAAGTACCAAGTGTGATTCAGAGATAACGGATGACCTGTTCTCTTACTCACTTTGAGTTGAGTGTTTTTGAAATGTTTGTGTTTTGAGAAAAGTACCTGATTTAAAAGTCTTAACTAATTAATGCCTTCCAAAACCCTATACGGGGTCACTGTGAGTCAGAACTAACTCGAGAGCTCCTGACAACAACAACAACAAAAGGAGCTTGGAGCCCTGATGTGGCGCTGGAGGACAAGTACTGAACTGCTCACTGAAAGATTGGCAGTTCAAATCCACTAGCCACTCCTCAGAAACGCTATAAAAAGTCGGTATGAGTCAGAACGGACTCAAAGATACTTAACGACAACAAAAATAGTTTAAGTGATAAATTTTTTTGTTGTTGTTACAACATGAAATGCACATATTAACTGAATTTAAAACTAAACGTACAACTTTGTAGCCTATTTGCATTGCTTGCAATATAATCGGAGAGCTACACTGCATTATTTAATCTGTCTTCACCATGTATTATGTAATACTTGGAGTCTGATCTCTTTTCAGGTAAGTTTCAATTGAACACGTGTTGTGGTTAAGTGCTGTTGAGTCAGTTCTGACTCATAGCAACCCTGTATAGGGTTTCTGAGGAGTGACTGGTGAGTTTAAACTTCCAACCTTGTAGTCCAGTGATTATATCCTACAGCGCCACACACATAGCATGATAAAAAACGCCTTTTAACAAATGCTATGTCAGATCCTGCTCCTAGATTTAATAATTTCAGTAAGTATTGGAGTTATTATTAAGTGCCATTAAGTAGGTTCCGACTCATAGCGACCCTGAATAGGGTTACTAAGGAGCAGCTGGCGAGTTTGAACTGTTTACCTTGTGGTTAGCGGTCCAGAACTTATACTAGAGTGCCACACCTGGAATCCTAAGTGTTTGGGGTGTTGTTGTTGTTATATGCTGTGGAGTCGGTTCCAGCTCATAGCAACCCTATACAGGATTTCCAAGGCTGTAAATCTTTATGGGAGCAGAGAGCCTCATCTTTCTTCCACAGAACAGCTGGTAGTTTCGAACTGCTAACCTTGAGATTAGTAGCCCGATTTGTAACCACTAAGCTAAACTTAATATTGGGAGTCTGGTGTGCTGTGGATTAATGCACTGAATTGCAAACTTGGTTTGAACTGCAAGGTCAGTGGTTCAGGCTTACCAACTGCTCCTTGGTAACCCTATGCAGGGTCGCTATGGGTCAGAACTGACTCTACAGCACTTAACAATAGCAACTTCATATAGAGAAGAGTTGTTGTGATTAAGTGCCATTGAATCGGTTCCAACTCGTAGCGAATCTGTATAGGTTTTCCAAGGGAAGTGGCTGGTGAGTTTGAACCATTGACCTTATGATTCAAAGGACCTTGTAATCAATTGCTTATCCTACAGTGCCACACCAGGACTCCATAGAGAAGAGTGGTGGTGGGTGTGTCTTGGAGTTGGTTTTAACTCACAACGACCCAGTGTAGGATTCCCAAGGCTGTAAATCTTTACAGGAGCAGAAAGCCTCACCTTTCTCCTGTAGAACCACTGGAAGTTTTGAACTGCTGACCTTAAGATTAGCAGTTCATCTCGTAAACTCTATGATACCAGGGCTTCCAAAGCAGAAAATGGAATTGATAGAGACCAAATGGAACCTCTAGATGGCAGCAGCTCCAAAGCATTGGAGCTTGCTTCTAACAAGATGCTTTCTGGTGTGAGACGAAAACTGCAGTCAGTTCCTATTTTAGCCAAGTGTAGTATGTGAGTCTAAATAGAATGATTGTCTCATGATCAGGCGTCTCAGTGGAAAATGCTGTGCTCTGAGAATAGTGCCTAGTATTGTGCTTTATAGCTGGTGGTTTCTCAAGAAATTAGCAGAGGTGAGTAGAAAAAAACGTAGTGAGATGTCAGAACATCGGGTTTTACTTTGTGGTTATAGTACCACCAAACTTTGTAATCTTAGGCAGGTCATACAGTTCTTCAAAAGTGGAAAGGGTAAGAGTCCTCTCTGGTCTGGAATCATCAGCCTTTATATTCAGCAACATTAGTAGATCTGTTTGTTTATTTATTTTTGCCTTTTGCCTTTTTTTAATGAGGATTCAGGGTTTCTTTTTGGGGAGTGATGAAAATGTTCTGGAATCAGATACCAGTAATGGTTGCAGCCTTATGAATATACTAAAAATCAATACATTGTATACTTTAAAATGATAAATAGTATATGAATCTTAACTACAAAAAATTTACATGGGAGGTCTGTATGTTCTGAAATGTATGATCTCAAAAATATGTTGAATGAAAAAAGTGTACAGAATTACATGTGTGGTATGCAACCATTTTTGCTTTTTAAAAAAGTTGCATCTATATGCTTGCATAACATCTGAAAGGATATGTAAGACCAGTAACATTGCTTCCTAAATGGAAGAGGAGATCTGAGGTGGCTGGCAGACGTTTGCCTGGTTTGACTTTTGTACAAAGTGCAACTACCACTTCCTTTTTGGGTTGTTTTTTTTTTTTTTTTTAATGTTTTATTGTGAATTATGTGATAGTTTACATGGGAGAACATTAGTTTTACATTTAAACATACATTAGTTTACATTCATCTATCGTTTCATTGCCATGGTTACAATCTCCTCCGTGCATCATCAGCCAACCAAAGGGTATATACACTACAAGCCTGCCCCCGAGTCGTCAGCACACCACCCCTCTCCCTCTCTGTATTTAAAGTCCCCAGCTGCTCCATCGCGCCACGTCATCGTCTCTTGCCTCCATCTCAGGCATCACTGCTTCTCCCTTGATGGTCCCAGGGACCTCTGCTCTTAGATTACAAAATTAAATCACTCCCCTCTTTGCTACAAAATGTCTACCTTTACATTTACAACCCTCACAATCAGTCCTGATAACAATTACTCACTATTGTATCACAAGAGGACCTATACGCATTTCCTTTCATTAGCCCCACCTAGACAGATTGGATACTACTCAGTGGAGAGTCTACCTTCCTCCACACCCTCTGGATCTAGGTTCCCTCTTGAAAGCTTGTAAGCCAGTCACTTCTTGCCTTTGTAGTCCCTCCGTTTTGGGTAGCCAATGTGCAAGTTGCCCATCCCTGTCTACTCTTGTGTATGGGGGGGGGTGGGAATGATCCTTGCTGTAAAGATTTTTTCCCACTTTTGAGCTACTGCATCCATAGGTGTAGGTCAAGTTCATCAAATTGTATCAGATTACAATTTTTTCCTCTTTCTTCTAATTGAGCTCTGATAATCCAGTCATTGAAGCCAGGTCAAGTGGGTATTATCTGCAAGTGTGGGTGTTCTTGTGTACAACTTCCTTTTTTAAAATTAAGAATAAGAAAAGAATACTGATGCTTTCTCTTAAGCTGTTTTATTTTAAGAGATCATCTTCATCTTTTGTAAATTTAACAGATATCGTCCCACTTGTTCAGATTTATTCATCCTTTAATAGTTGAAGCATTACACAATGACAGTTTTTACTTTCAATCTTTAATTATGTTACATTCATTATATTTGAGATTGTGTAGCTTTCTCATGGAGAAAAAAAGAGCCTAGGTATGAACCTTTTATAGTATACAGATACTATTCCTGCAACACAATGTTAATATAAAAGCTTTACGGATAATTGGATAATTTCTATGATGTGGGCAGCGAGATCAGTAAGAGTGACTGTCATCTGACCAGTCTTGAAAGTCAACAGCTGTGATTTTTCATCCATTGTTCAATCCATTTTAGTATCTGGTTTATTTATTCTCTAGATCTTCTGGGTGTTGGTGGTGGTGCCGTAGAGTTGTTTCCGACTCATAGTGACCCTGCACAGGGTTTCCAAGGCTGTAAATCTTTACGGGAGCAGAAAGCCTCATCTTTCTCCCGCAGAGCAGCTGGTAGTTTCAAATTGCTGACCTTGCGGCTTGCAGCCCTGTTCGTAACCACTACGTTACCAGAGCTCCTAGATCTTCTCCTAGATTTTTTCACTGTAGAAGGCTCTGGCTTCTTCATAAAGAACTTGAAAAATTTCACACTGAATATTGTCTTACAGTTTTTTCTCATTATAATCCCTTGTTTCAAGTCTTTTGTACAGTACACTGTTAATCTGTTCTCAGCACAAAAACAATATGAAACCAGCATTCAGGGAAGAACTCACGACCACGATAATCAACAATTGCGCCACCTTCTTTCATTTGGTTTTCTAACTCATCAGTGACTCTGTCTCCATCTAAAATGGGACAGTCATACTCTTCATCATAGCCCTCATGTAACTGACCTTCTTAAGCTACATCACCCACATTAAAGTATTTCAGTCCTGATCTTGATGCAAGTTCTTTGCCTAGGGTGGTTTTTCCAGTCCCTGTACCTGTGAGCAAGATGTCCAGCTGCAACACGGTCCTTTAGTAGATATATTTTTGAAGGGAATAGTCAGGTTAAGGTTAAGTATGTAGTACCTACCATTGTTAGGGAGAGCATATTTTGATTGCTGAGTGGTTAAGAACATAGATCTGACGGGCTTGGTTCAGAATTTGGCTTTACCACTTAAAAGTTTAAAGGCTGCTTGATTATTTAACAAGTTTCTTTGCCACTTCCCCCTTGTATTTCCCCTCTGAAAAGTGGGAGATGTTAGTACCTATTTCAGAGGATTGTTTGTAAGGACAGATGTAAAATACTCACCACAGGATCTGACTGATGATGTTTTTCAGTTAGTAACCATCTTAAATAGCACAAAAGTGATGTTTTCATGGTGTTTGGTTGGAATTTTAACTCTCTGCACTATGATTTTCCTAAATAAGAAGGCTTCAAAAAAAAAAGTTTCTGGGACAATTCCAACAGAGTCTGTTATAAAGAACATTTATATCTTCATTTTACCTTGATCTCTCATTAACTACAAATGTTTCCCAATGAATGTTGACCGATAATTTTGGAACATTTATCTCTATAAACACAAACCTATGTCTTCCTTCTACTTATAGTTCGCCTAAATAGTCCTGGTGTCCCAGTGAGTATGTGCCAAGCTGCTAACTAAAGGTTGGCAGTTCAGTCCCAAACAGTGTGGTTCTATAGAAGAAAAACACCTCATGACCCCTGAAAGGATCCCACAAAGATTACAGCCAAGAAAACCCTGTGGGGCAACTTTACAGCACCTAACAACAACAGCAAAATAATTGTTTTTATAAAACTATAAAATAGATTAACTACAAACAGGAAGTTCAAATACCTGTCCATATATTGTTGTTAAGTGTCGTTGAGTCATTTCCAAGTCATACCAGCCATCTACAGGCTTTCCAAGGTGGACTTGAACCCACGACCTTATAATTCACAGGCCAGTGCTTATCCTGTAGTGCTATACCAGGAGTACACCAATTAAAAATGCTATCTGATGTTACTTTCTTGAAAATAAATCACTGCTTTACAACATGAATATGGAACAGCTTTTGGGCTTTTTTGAGTCTGAAGTTCATATGAGGGCAGTCATAAAATATTGATAGAAAATCATAGAAATCTAAGTTTGTACACTTCTGAAGGCAGTGTTCATTTCTTTATTTTTAAGATCTTTATTTTATCCCTTTCTAAGAGAATACTGTACTCTTCGATTTATACCACTTTAAAACAGCAGTTTGGGCATCTTCATGAGACTCAGGTCAAAGTGGGAAAGATTGGGGCTGTGGGGAATAGGATGGGATTTCTCAACAAAATTCTCACAGGACAGCCCTTGCTACCAGTGGTAGTTATGCTTTTGTGTCACCTTGGCTGGACCAGGATTCTCATGGTTTAGCAGTTAAGGCATAATTCACTATGATGCGCACTCCTCCACTCCTATCAGTTGACTGTAGTGTGGTGGCTAGCATATTACTGTGTACTATAATGAAATGTGCAAAGATCTAGGGTTAGTAAACCAAATGGGAAGAACATGCTCAGCATTTCTCAAACTGAAAGAAGAATGTTTCTTTGTGTAAAACTTTCTTTTTCTTTTACTGTTTACAATTAGTGGTCTTATACAATATTTGTCTTTTTGTGATTCGCTTTTTTTCACTCAACTAATGTCCTGCATCCATGTTATGAGGTGTGTTGCCGATTCATCTTTTTAATACTGTATGTGTTGTTGTTGTTATGTGCCATCTAGTCAGTTCCTACTCATAGTGACCCTGTTTAGGGTTCCGATGAGCAGCTGGTAGGTTTCAACCGCTGACCTTGTGGTTCACAGTTCCGTACTGATCCACAGTGCCGCACCATACATCCTTAATATTGTATAGTGTCCCATTGTGTTTAACCATTGTTTTGTTGAGGAGCATTTAGGCTGGCTTCATCTTTTTGCTGTTACAGATAATTCTGCAGTGAATATGCGTTTACATGTATCTATTTGTGTCATGGCTCTTACTTCTCTAGGATAGATACCAAGTAGTAAGTTTTCTGAATCATAATGATATTTCTGTTTCCAACTTTATAAGGAAGCACAATTCCACAATTGGTTGTACCATTTTATAGTCCCACTAAAGATCAGGAGTCCTGATGTGGTGCTGTGGATTAATGCTCTGGACTGCAAAGTTAGTTTGAACCACAAGGTCAGTGGTTCAAGCTTACCAGCCTCTCCTTGGAAACCCTATACAGGGTCACTGTGGGTTGGAACTGACTCAGTGGTATTCAACAACAACAATCTCTCCACACTCTTGCCATTTCTTGTTTTCTGTTTTTTTGAGCCTTACTATTAATGCTGAAGGAGCTCTGGTAGTGTAGTGGTTACGAATCGGGCTGTGGACCACAAGGTCAGCAGTTCGAAACTACCAGCTGTTCTGCGGGAGAAAGATGAGGCTTTCTGCTCCTGTAAAGATTTTATAGCCTCAGAAACCCTGTTCAGGGTCGCTATGAGTCGGAAGCGACTCCATGGCACACAATAACATTAACGCTGAGATGAAATGATACCTCATGGTTGTTTTGATGTGCATTTCTCTAGTGGCTAATGTTTGTAAACATTTCTTCATGTGTTTGTTGGTTGCTTGGATATCTTCTTTGGTAAAATGTTGGGCCGGTTTTTTTGGAAGGTACACTACCAAAACTAAGATGAACATATTACTGGGAGAACTTGTCTGCAGCTATCCACTGATCACTTAAACACGTTGGAATAAAACCTGTGCATTTACAAACTGGAACCCTAGCAGCAGTACTTTTTTACTTACCCTCATATAGTTACATACTGTTGTTTTTAAGTGCCATTGAGTCGGTTCCAACTCACAGTAACCCTGTATTGGGTTTCCAAGGAGCGCCTGGTGGGTTTGAATGGCCAACCTTGCGACTGAACGGACTTTTGTGGTCCATTGTATTGTCTTGCTTCACCACACCAGGATATTGTTCTGACTCATAGTAGCCTGTATAGGGTAAAGGTGGGTTTGAACTGCTGACTTTGGTGGGTTTGAACTGCTGACTTTGTGATTTGCAGTCCAGGGTGGATCCACAGTGCCACACCAGAAGTCCTTGTGTCAATTCTTCTAAAACAACTGCAGACTTTGTTCAGCACATTGTAGCACTTTCTGGCCTTTGCTGAGTAGAAAAAGCATCATTTATATGTTGTTTACGTTCTTTTTCTGTTGCCTTTTTTCCACCTGTGGTTACCATAGTACATCAGTTCATTGGCCATGTCAGTGTCCTTAGATCATGTGAGTCTTCATCCTGCATATATTTTAAAGAAAAAGTTTTAAGTCTTAGTCCATGAAACTGTCCGTTGATTATTCACTGCAAAAGAAATGTTTTCTGTTTACAATTGAAACAATTTGATGTGACTACAGTATGAGTAGTTGCCATTATAATGTTAGATGCCTATGTCAGGGATTTCGTTTGGCACCAGACAGCATCATTCAGGGAGAAAGCTCACATCATTCAAAAAATGCTTATGTGAGTTATTTGTAGAGATTATCCAAATAAACCAACAAAATAATATTGTAGCAAACTCTTCGAAGTCTTGAAAAGTAAGTCCTTGCACTCGTTTGGGAACATTACTTTGAGGTGAGCATAATGTAGTCAGTGTGGCAAACTCTGGGTGCACTGATGTCGTAGCCTTTGCTGGCTGTGAAGCTTGTAGGACAAGTCAGGTAAAAATTGAAATGAATGTATAGTGCCCAGAATAAGTACATGTATGGATGAAAAATTACTTGAGGTTTAAAAATTGGGCAACTATGAAAGAAACATTGACAGCTTCCTTTGGTGTCCTTCCTGTGAATTAGAGCTATCTGAGCAGGATCTGGAGGAGAGATCTGCCAGACTGAGGTTCCATCATGAAGATTTAGGGAAAGGAATTCCGCAGTTTACTCATTGCTAGTAGCTTATTTTGTCTCTCACTGATTTTCTAATATTTGTTAAATATTTTGAGTTAATGTTGGACATTTCAGCATGATGGTAAATTCTTGACTCTCTTTATTTTTCCAAAACCACAGCATTTTCTACCCCAGCAAGTCAGCTCTTTTCTCCTCATGGTTCTAATCCTTCAACACCTGCTGCAACTTCCGCCCCGACTGCATCCCCGGTCAAGGCAGCAAATCACCCATCAGCATCAGCCACTGCCACCAATCCAGGGATGAACTTGCCAACCACTGTCCTTCCAGTGTTCCCAGGGCAGGTCTCCTCAGCCATACAGACACCTCAGCCTTCAGTGCCAAATCCAACAGTCATCAGAACCCCTACCTTGCCTACCACACCTATGACTTCCTCGCACAGCACAGCATCTACTGCTGTTCCTTCTGTTTTCTCGGGCCTCGTTCCACTGCCAGCTTCTTCTGCTACTCCTACCCTGACCCCTCAAGCTGCATCTACCCCTCGGGCCACTCCTGCTTCCAGTGAAACTTTTACCTCTACTTCTGCCCCTTTCACTAGCCTCCCCTTTTCTGCCACCTCTACTGCTCCTTCTCCCAATAACCCAAGTTCTGTTTCATTATCATCATCAGTTTTTGCTGGTCTCCCCTTAACACCAGCATCCCAAGGAGTAGCCAGCCTAACTCCTGTAATTGCTGGTGGTTCCACTTCTAGTGTTGCCGGTCCACTGAGTGTAAATAATCACCTTCTGTCTGCTTTGAAAGGCTTCCTGGCATCAAATGATACCAATTTAATCAACTCTTCTGCTTTATCCTCTGCTGTTACTAATCAGAACACCAGTGTTCCTGCTTCAGTCTCTAATAAATGCTATGTGCCCTCGGTCCTCCCCACCCCACAGAGGTCTTCCACTCCAGGGCTGGCCTTGTTTCCAGGTCTCCCATCGCCTGTGGCTAACTCCACATCCACGCCCTCTACTCTGTCTGCACAGTCTCCTTTAGCTGCTCCTGCATCTTCTGCCGCTTCTGTGCCAGCTAGCTGTGGCTCCTCAACTTCCCTTTTTCATGGGCCCCACCCTAGTAACTCAGACTTGCACGTATCATCTGCCGCTACTGTAACAACTCTTCCTGTTATGATCAAAACTGAGCCAACAAGTCCTACTCCCTCAGCCTTCAAAGGCCCTTCCCATTCCATTAACCCCTCTCACAGCACTTTAGGTTTGTCAGCGACCGTCGGCCGAGCGTATACGTCAACATCTGTGCCCATCAGTCTATCTACTTGCCTTAATCCTGCACTGTCAGGTCTCTCTAGTCTGAGTACTCCTTTAAATGGTTCAAACCCCCTGTCCTCTATTTCCCTTCCACCACACGGCTCCTCCACTCCTATCGCTCCAGTATTCACTGCCCTGCCTCCTTTTACATCTTTGACCAATAATTTTCCTTTAGCAGGCAACCCTGCTCTTAACCCCTCAGTGTCTCTTCCGGGGTCGCTGATAGCCACCTCCTCTAGCACAGCCACCTCCTCATCTCTCCCTCATGCTAGCTCCACTACAGGCGTTCTCTCAGGGCTGTCTGCCTCAGCACCAGTCTCAGCCTCACCTTTCCCCCTCAACCTGTCCACTGCTGTCCCCTCACTGTTTTCCGTGACTCAAGGCCCTCTGCCGTCCTCAAACCCCTCGTACCCTGGCTTCTCTGTCTCCAATGCTCCCAGTGTTGCTCCCGCGCTCTCATCCTTCCCGGGGCTGCAGGCGCCCTCCACAGTGGCAGCTGTAGCCCCCCTGCCTGTCGCTGCCACCGCCCCATCACCTGCTCCTGTCCTCCCAGGATTCGCCTCAGCATTTAGTTCAAACTTCAACTCTGCTCTGGTGGCACAAGCTGGGTATGTGACTATTTGGAAATAGAATAAAATAATTTTTACTAACTTGGAGTTCATAGTCTCATTTTGAGTTATTCATATCCAAACCTAATTAATTTGCTGGTGCTAATTTGCCTTTTTTCTCAGCTAAGTCTTCAGTGCTCAAAAAATGTTTCATAGCCATTCTTTCATTTAAAGTTCAGAGCATAAAATATCATACTTTCCAGATTGATATTTAATAATCTAACTTCAGTACAACAAAATGTAGACTTTATGAATTCAGTGAACAATTGTCTTAGATTACTTTATTGCTTCCCAAAATTCTAAGTTTGTTTTCTAAAATACTTTAAGATACTGTTTGACAAATAGAGAAGCAGTAACTTGTGTATCTTATCTGAAATTTGATCTGCTCTTCTGTCTCCTGTTTTAGTTTATCATCTGGACTTCAAGCTGCAGGCGGCTCTGTTTTTCCAGGCCTGTTGTCCCTCCCAGGCATCCCAGGGTTTTCCCAGAATCCTTCACAGTCTTCTTTGCAAGAATTACAGCATAATGCAGCTGCACAGTCAGCATTGTTGCAGCAGGTAAGCAGGCAATGCTGTAGAAGTAAAATGGTGACATGTATAATATAGTATAACTCCTCTAATGGTAACATCATGGGCTGAAATATAGCAATGATTGTTGGCACCGGCCCGGGCAGTGTTTGTTTCTGTTGTGCATAGGGTTGCTAGGAATCAGTAGTGACTCGATGGCATCTAACAACAAAACGTGATAATAGAGTAGTTCAAACCCACCAGCCAGAAAGGTGAGGAGGAAAATGAGACTCTCTCCTCCCTTTAAAGCTTTAGTCTCAGAAGCCCTAAGGAGCAATTCTCCTCAGTCCTGTGAGGTCACTGTGAGTTGGATTGACTCTGTGACAGTTTGGGGTTTGGTTAGTGATCACATGCAGATTAGTGGTGGCTCAGTTCTAGAACTAATCACACTCCATGTGGCAGACCTGGCTCTGATTCCCAGCCAGTGCACCTCAAGTACAGCTTTCAACCTTCTATCACCGGAGGCTTACATGTTGTGATGATTTTGAATTAAGACCAACTAGGAAGAAAGGCCTGATGACCTGAAAAGCAGCAAATAAAACCCTGTTCATCACAATGGCCCAGTCTTGTTGTGCATGGGGTTGTTCCTGAATCAGGACTCCACAACCACAGCTAACAATGGTGCAGGGGTAGCATTAAGACAACTCCTGTGATCACTAACATTGGGAAAGTGGCTTTTCTCAGACTATCTAAGGGTGTTGTGATGAGTCCGCCCACATTTTCAAGTTATTATTATTCTTTCAGAAGAGTAACAAGCTGGTAGAATAGATTCTTCTTTGTGAATTGCAAGATGGCCCTGGACTGCTAATTGTACTGTTGATAGTTCAAACCCGCCAGCTGCTCCACAGGAGGAAGATGAGGCTCTCTGCTCCCATAAAGATAACTCTGCTCTGTCCCACAGGATGGCTATGAGTCAGAATCTACTGTGGGCTTGGGTAGGGTGGGGTCTATGAGTTGCTTTCCCTGCTTAAAGATAGTAAATCTCATTTAGGAGATTTTACGTAATAAAATGATACCTTTATCCAAGGCAGTTAAATTCTAATTTGCCTGTATAATTTAAGATAAAATAATTGACCATTAAAGATTTTTTCCTGTAGAATATCAATTTTTCTCTTAAACGCTATTAAATATTTTAGTGGCATTTCCATGCACCCTCTACAGTTAACCAAATTTAAACATTTTTTAAATTCTGAGACTGAGCAAACTTTTATCTTGCCCCCAGTTTTTTTGTTTCATTTTATATTCTGATTGTCTGTAATATGGGAAGGAAAAGCAAGGAGAGACTTGATCACATGCAGCTCCCTGCTAACTGCTTGTCCATCTTTGTCTAGGTCCATTCATCCTCAGCTCTGGAAAGCTATCCAGCTCAGCCTGACGGGTTTCCTAGTTATCCTTCAACACCAGGAACACCGTTTTCTTTGCAACCAAGTCTCTCTCAAAGTGGATGGCAGTGAATATAGTGTCATGTCTGTTGTCCTTTGGAGCAACATCAGAATTGTCTGGGGACTGCAGTGAACAATCTGATAAATGTGAAGTTGGGGAAAAGTCCAAAAGTGAGAATGAGGATAGCTGTGATCAGAGTTTCAGAATCATGGTTGCATTTTTTTTTTAAACAGTTTTCAGTATGAACACTCCCCTGTGTAAATGTACTGACAATAAACTATATAGAGAATAGAATTAAGAAAGGATTTGGGGACTTTTTATCTCCCATCCTATAAAATTTTGAATTGTGTATGTGAGCCACGTAGAAAGAATATTAAAGAAGAGAGTGAACTCTCATGACCGAATCCAGCCTTAACTCTGCTTGTATAGCATCCACTGACAGAAGTAATGGTTGTGCCTCAGACTTAGGGGTTGCATGTGACCCTGTGAAGTTGCTACCCTTTGGCATGTATGAGTAGTTCCTATTAGCATCAGTTGGAACTCAATACTCCATATGTATCCACAAGGGGGAACTTGAGACCGTTTTAATTTTAATTTCAGATATTAATGATCATACATATACTGCTGAATTTAACTCAATATATTTCAGGTAAGTGAAAATGGTGCTTATTATAGTCTTTAGAATGACTTTCAGGTGTTTTCACTAAAACTATACGTCCAGCATTTTCTTACAGAAATACAAGTAAGGCTTATGATAATTCGCCTTCAGTGTTTATTACTTAATCTCAGCAGTGTCCAAATAGATGAGGAGCATTTGACTGACTCTGAGGCCCCCTCTGTTACACACTGTACTCTGGAAGCTTTGGTGAATGTTTACAATCACGGGATGTAGTATTTCTCTTTGTATTTAAAGTAAAATGCATATCTAAAATAAAATAGAGAAGACTTGCTCTGTTAGTAAATATGCAGCGTGTACTCTATTTAAGGATCTTTGGTAGTAGAATGCCAGTTATTTAAGAAGAAGAACTCTGCCACGTTTTGGGAGAGAAGTAGGAAGAATGGTATCCAATCCTGTGATTAAAAGTGTAAACTATAGGGTCTACTGTAGTACATTTCAGCATCTACAAGTTTTACTTTTATAAAGACAGTGTCTGGAAGATGTTGCTAATGTATTTTCCTTCAACAAGGGGAGCAAACTTTTTAAATATATTAATAAATATTCCTGTATGATTAGTTTTTAACAATTTTTTAAAATAAATTTATGGATATGACAACTACTTTTAAAGTGTTTTTATTCAATACTTGATAGGCTTTTTGTTACGTGCAGAAGTGAATAAAAAAAAAAAGTTCCAAGTTGGCAATTCTGAACCTTTTAAAGACCGGTTTTTTGAAGCATTTGCTGAGTGAGTCGTCTGCATACAGTGTGGTGTTGCGTTTACCCACTAGGGTGCTAGTTCATACTGTGGGGTAGGCACTGGACTGCTAACTGCAAAGTCAGCAGCTCAAGCACACGCAACAATAAGACCCCCTTGAAGGAGCCCTGGTGTCTCAGTGGTCAAAGTGCTGGCTACTAACCAAAAGATCTCAGTTCACACCCCTCATGGGGAAAAAATATGGCAGTGTGCTCTCCTGATGATTTATAGCCGTTTTACTGTGTCCTCTAAGGTCTCTGTGAGTCCAAGTCAACTCCTGGGCATCTTGCACTAATACGTCTGTATAAAACAGGACTATTTTTGACACATTTGTAATAGTTACTAGAGACTGCTTTTATGTATCTACTTACTATAAATCTGAGGGACAGACACAGGAAACCTGGTGTGCTTCTGTAGGATAAGCACTGGACTGTTAATCTGCAAGTTCGGCAGTGCAAACTTACTGGCTGCTTCTTGGACACTCCATACTATGAGGAACTGATTCAATAGCATTTAACAAGCGCCTCATTCATTGGATAAAGAAGCTAAGATGCAAGCACTTCCTGTCAGATCAGGCTGTGCCACCATGGACTATGAGAACAGATACAAGGGGAGTCAGTACCTTACTGCCTCATGGAGTCAAGAGAGCTTTCTCAGTGACACTAAGCCTGAAGGGAGGAGTAAGAATTAATATCCAAAGTAAATATACAACATAGGGTTTAAATTGTGTACCTACCACCAAATATGTGTTAGAATCCTAACTTACACATGTACATGCAGTCCTGTTTGGAAATAGGAGTTTCTTTGTTAATATTAATAAACATGACCCAAATAAGTGGGTCCTGAATCTGAGCTATAAAAAAAGCAGAGGAGACACAGACACAAGGGGAAACAGATTCCTTGTAAAAATCAGGAACGTCAGGACCTACCAACAAACAAGAAGACAACACAACACCCCAATTTGGACTTTTAGCTTCCAAAACTGAAAAATAAACTTATGTTTTTATAAAGGCACCTGCTTGTGTGGAGCCTACCTACATGGGGCAAAATTATGAAAACTTATGATATTACCAAACACCTTGAGGTTGGTGGGTCTCAGGACCAAAGTCTTGGGACACAATGATCAGTTGGCATTACAATCCCCAATGACAATGCTCTGCATCTGCCTTTGGCAAGTAAGGACTGGGAGCTTCAAAGCTAAGGAGCAGCTATGGGTCTCTGCCTGTCCAGTAAGGAGTGTTGAAAATGGTCTGATGGATTGATGGATCATGGTAACATCAGTCTTCATGACCCTGAGACCAGTAGAACTATATGGTGCCTGACTACCACAACCAACTGCTCTGAAAGGGATCAGAAGGTCCTGAATAAAGTAGAAGAAAATGTGGAACATAAAAATTTCTAAAAGACCAGACTTACTGGTCAGCGAGAGACTGGTGGAATCCCAAACCTCTGGCTCCTGTTCACCCTTGAAATCTGAAACTCACCTTTGGCTCACTTTTCAGCTGAGCATTAGATAGATGGTTGTTGTTATGTGCCGTCGAGTTATGTGCCTCATCTTTCTCCCGCGGAGCCACTGGTAGTTTCGATCTGCTGACCTTGCGGTTTGCAGCCCGATTCGTAACCACTATGCTACCAGAGCTATGTAGGGGTTATAGCACCATGAGATGTACATCAGTGGTCAAACTATTTGAGAACAAAAGGACAGCATTTCTTTAAGCACAGGGTTGAGAAAGATTGGGAAAGGAATGGAAACAATCACAGGGAGGAAGCGGTTGAGTGATGCTACGTTGAGGGATTGCAGTCAGAGATGAAATGCAGTGTCTGAGTTGTTGAATGTGAAACTGATGATCTGCCTGCTCCTTAATGTTTCTCTCAATTAGCATAAGTTGTTTCAGTTCTAAAAACACCACCTGTGGTATTTCTGCTACAGCAGCACCAAGAATCTAAGGCAACATGTGACTTAATAGTCACTTATTCCTCTAACTTGATTATTGTAAAGTGCCATAAATCGGTTTTAACTCATGATCCTGTATAGGTTTCAAGGAGCATTATAGGTTTGAACCACCAGCCTTGCAGTTGGCAGTCCTATGCTTATCCTACAGCACCACACCAGGACTCTAACTTAATGGAACACAATATATAGTTTAAATGAACAGGCGTACTTACAAATGACTGTTTTATAGTCAATTGTTAGGAACTTTATTGGCAAACATTTTGCTGAAATCATTTTCGATGCAGCATAGAAAATGGATTAGAGATGATGAACTTCAAAAATGAAGATTGTGAGGTTTACCATTAAGGAAAAGGGTAGATAGGGGAACACTGAGACAGGTTTGCATGGGCTAAATGGGACCGGTAAAGAGTGATGTATGCTCAACCTTGGAACAACAGGACTCTGTGATACAGGGATGAAGACGTAGTTTGAAGAGGGGAAATAATACAAAGATGCTTGACTTGTCTTATGTATATTGGTTTCCCTTGCCTACTGTTGTCAGCAGTTCAAAACTACCAGCTGTTCCATGGGAGAAAGATGATGCTTTCTGCTCCCAGAAAGATTTACAGTCTCGGAAACCCTGTACAGGGTCGCTATGAGTCGGAACCAACTCCACTGCACAAAACCACCACCACCACCACTATTGTAAAATGGACACTTGAATTAGATAGAAAGGAACATCAGGAAACATGATTACAGAAAGCTTGTAAGCCCATCTTCAACCTGTAACTGATTGGAATACCTAAAAGGGGTTCTAGAACTTGCCCAGTGAAAGAGGCCTCTTGCAGTCTTTGCAGTGTATACGACCTTAGGTGGAATCCTGAGCCCCATCCCGAACCTTCTGAGGTGGAACATTCCTACTGGAAAGGACAAGCAGACCTGCCTGGAACAGCTGGATTGACAGAAGCTACATCTTCAAAGAAAGATCATCAGGAAAAACCCAAAAATGGCAGTATGACTGGCTACAACAAGAACAAGCAAGTTGTTCGCTGGGAAGCCATCAAGGCAAGCATTCAAGTTCCTTCAGGACAAACTCCGCACCCCACCGCCTCTCCTAAGACAAACTCAAAGGGAAACACATGAGTAGGCATGTAAGCTTGCTGATGATCACATTGGTCTACTGGTAAGTGGAAGAGGGGGAAAGGCAGCAATGAAGGAACGGGCTGAGTTCAACCACTTTCAAGACTCCCGTTGATACGGAAATGAGAGAGAGAAGAGGAAGGGCAGGTTGGACCAAAATGTGGTGAGACCTGGGGACACCTGAGCCTATGGGCAACAACAAGCCACAAAGGGCCATAGCTGAGTGAAGCATCCAGCTGATAGGAAGTGAGAAGAGGTGCACAAGAACAGCCAAAGTTGTAGAGAGTACCCATTTGACCTAGCCTTGATGGCTTGATAATCAGAACTCGACTAGAGGAAGATAAAAAAAAATTTTTTATAAACGAAATGGGTAAATTGCTACAATTTGATAAACCTGGCCTATACTCATGGAAGTTGTTAAGTGTTGTCAAATTGATAACAACCCATAGGGACCCTGTACAGGGTTTCTGAGGCTGTAAATCTTTACGGGAGCAGAAAACCTCATCTTTCTCCTGCAGAATAGCTGGTAGTTTCAAACTGCTGACCTTGAGGTTTGCAGCCCTATTTGTAACCACTACACAGGTAT